CAGAACAACACTTCGAACAACGCCTGTGACAACACCAGGCACAACACCAGGTACTACACCAGGCACCACGCCAGGCACAACACCAGGTACTACACCAGGCACCACACCAGGTAAGGTCAAATTTTTTTTTTGGTTTTAAAGAGAGACACATTACTGTACTTTGAAGGAGTTGGGTTTTCTGAATGTCATGTGTCCAGTGCCTTTGTAAGAAGTGTGAACATTTGTCATTTCCAAAGACAAACAGCTACTGATAATGAAGTAAATACAGCGCAGATATCTTGAATATAGGTATTTAGTTTTTTATCAATACATATAACTATTGATGGTTTCCCTCAGGAACAACTCCTGGAACAACACCTGGAACGACAGCCGGAACAACACCTGGAACAACGCCTGTGACAACACCAGGCACAACACTAGGTACTACACCAGGCACCACGCCAGGCACAACACCAGGTACTACACCAGGCACCACACCAGGTAAGGTCAAATTTTTTTTTGGTTTTAAAGAGAGACACATTACTGTACTTTAAAGGAGTTGGGTTTTCTGAATGTCATGTGTCCAGTGCCTTTGTAAGAAGTGTGAACATTTGTCATTTCCAAAGACAAACAGCTACTGATAATGAAGTAAACACAGCGCAGATATCTTGAATATAGGTATTTAGTTCTTTATCAATACATATAACTATTGATGGTTTCCCTCAGGAACAACTCCTGGAACAACACCTGGAACGACAGCCGGAACAACACCTGGAACAACGCCTGTGACAACACCAGGCACAACACCAGGTACTACACCAGGCACCACGCCAGGCACAACACCAGGTACTACACCAGGCACCACACCAGGTAAGGTCAAATTTTTTTTTGGTTTTAAAGAGAGACACATTACTGTACTTTAAAGAAGTTGGGTTTTCTGAATGTCATGTGTCCAGTGCCTCTGTAAGAAGTGTGAACATTTGTCTTTTCCAAAGACAAACAGCTACTGATAATCAAGTAAACACAGCGCAGATATCTTGAATATAGGTATTTAGTTCTATATCAATACATATAACTATTGATGGTTTCCCTCAGGAACAACTCCTGGAACAACACCTGGAACGACAGCCGGAACAACACCTGGAACAACGCCTGTGACAACACCAGGCACAACACAAGGTACTACACCAGGCACCACGCCAGGCACAACACCAGGTACTACACCAGGCACCACACCAGGTAAGGTCAAAAAATTTTTTGGTTTTAAAGAGAGACACATTACTTCCCCAAAAGAAGTTGGGTTTTCTGAATGTCATGTGTCCAGTGCCTTTGTAAGAAGTGTGAACATTTGTCATTTCCAAAGACAAACAGCTACTGATAATCAAGTAAACACAGCGCAGATATCTTGAATATAGGTATTTAGTTCTATATCAATACATATAACTATTGATGGTTTCCTTCAGGAACAACTCCCGGAACAACACCTGGAACGACAGCTGGAACAACACCTGGAACAACGCCTGTGACAACACTAGGCACAACACTAGGTACTACACCAGGCACCACGCCAGGCACAACACCAGGTACTACACCAGGCACCACACCAGGTAAGGTCAAATTTTTTTTTGGTTTTAAAGAGAGACACATTACTGTACTTTAAAGAAGTTGGGTTTTCTGAATGTCTTGTGGCCAGTGCCTTTGTAAGAAGTGTGAACATTTGTTATTTCCAAAGCCAAACAGCAACTGATAATCAAGTAATGGATTAGAATGTGTTCTAAAATTCATAGTTTTCTGGAGTTTTTGCTTGATGTAACATTTAGAATCATGGAAAGACTACCTGGTCAGGAAATGAAATGTATCTAACAATTATTTTGTCGACTCTATATTTCTTCTTTTTCAAGATATTATCACCTCAAAAGAGGCAAACATAATACCATTCACTTAACATATCTATTGATGTAATTTTTCTGAATTTCTGTTACATTACAGATGATGAACCACCTATTCTGAACTGCTCAAATATATCTTCTACTACGGATGAAGGACTCAATTCATCATCTACTGTTATGCTGGAATTAACTGCAACAGATAATGTGGATTTTGATCTAGATGTGAATTGCTCCCATTCATTCCAAGATATATTTCTACTAGGGGACACCACTGTGAACTGCTCGTCTACAGATGGTGCAGGAAACACTGGCACTTGTCTTCTCGTTGTCACAGTAACAGGTGTGAATCTGATAATTCTTCATATCTAAAAGCTCTGTCACAGAACAAGCTTTTGATTTTTGGATATTTAAATTCTTTTGAAAGATAAATCGTAATGAATGTGTATGTGTTCTAAAATTCATAGTTTTGAGGAGTGTTTGCTAGATTTAACATTTTGAATCAAGTAAAGGTCAAATTCCTGCCATGAAATGAAATGTATCTAACAATTATTTTCTCGACTCTATATCTCTTTTTTTTCAAGATATTATCACCTCAAAAGAGGCAAACATAATAGCATTCTCTTAACATATCTATTGATTTAATTTTTCTAATTTTCTGTTACATTACAGATGATGAAGCACCTATTCTGAACTGCCCAAATATATCTTCTACTACGGATGAGGGACTCAATTCATCATCTACTGTTATGCTGGAATCAACGGCAACAGATAATGTGGATTTTGATCTAGATGTGAATTGCTCCCATTCATTCCAAGATATATTTCTACTAGGGGACACCACTGTGAACTGCTCGTCTACAGATAGTGCAGGAAACATTGGCACTTGTCTTCTCGTTGTCACAGTAACAGGTGTGAATCTGATTATTCTTCATATCTAAAAGCTCTGTCACAGAACAAGCTTTTGATATTTGGATATTTAAATTCTTTTGAAAGATAAATCGTAATGAATGTGTATGTGTTCTAAATTTCATAGTTTTGAGGAGTTTTTGCTAGATTTAACATTTTGAATCAAGTAAAGGTCAAATTCCTGGCATGAAATGAAATGTACCTAACAATTATTTTCTCAGGAACAACTCCCGGAACAACACCTGGAAACACTCCAGCCACAACACCTGCAACAACCCCAGGAACGACAGCCGGAACAACACCTGGAACAACGCCTGGAACAACACCAGGCACAACACCAGGTACTACACCAGGCACCACACCAGGCACAACACCAGGTACTACACCAGGCACCACACCAGGTAAGGTCAAATTTTTTTTTGGTTTTAAAGAGAGACACATTACTGTACTTTAAAGAAGTTGAGTTTTCTGAATGTCATGTGGCCAGTGCCTTTGTAAGAAGTGTGAACATTTGTCATATCCAAAGCCAAACAGCAACTGAAAATCAAGTAAACTAAGTGCAGATATCTTTTTTAGCTCTATATCAATACATATAACTGTTGATGTTTTCCCTCAGGAACAACTCCCAGAACAACACCTGGAACCACTCCAGCTACAACACCTGCAACAACCCCAGAAACGACAGCCGGAACAACACCTGGAACAACGCCTGGAACAACACCAGGCACAACACCAGGTACTACACCAGGCACCACACCAGGTAAGGTCAATTTTTTTTGGGTTTTAAAGAGAGACACATTACTGTACTTTAAAGGAGTTGGGTTTTCTGAATGTCATGTGGCCAGTGCCTTTGTAAGAAGTGTGAACATTTGTCATTTCCAAAGCCAAACAGCAACTGATAATCAAGTAAACACAGCGCAGATATCTTGAATATAGGTATTTAGTTCTATATCAATACATATAACTTTTGATGTTTTCCCTCAGGAACAACTCCCGGAACAACACCTGGAACCACTCCAGCTACAACACCTGCAACAACCCCAGGAACGACAGCCGGAACAACACCTGGAACAACGCCTGGAACAACACCAGGCACAACACCAGGTACTACACCAGGCACAACATCAGGTACTACACCAGGCACTTCACCAGGTAAGGTCAATTTTTTTTGGGTTTTAAAGAGAGAAACATTACTGTACTTTAAAGGAGTTGGGTTTTCTGGATGTCATGTGGCCAGTGCCTTTGTAAGAAGTGTGAACATTTGTCATTTCCAAAGCCAAACAGCAACTGAAAATCAAGTAAACTAAGCGCAAATATCTTATTTAGTTCTACATCAATACATATAACTTTTGATGTTTTCCCTCAGGAACAACTCCCGGAACAACACCTGGAACCACTCCAGCTACAACCCCTGCAACAACCCCAGGAACGACAGCCGGAACAACACCTGGAACCACTCCAGCTACAACCCATGCAACAACCCCAGGAACGACAGCCGGAACAACACCTGGAACAACGCCTGTGACAACGCCAGCTACAACACCTGGAACAACACCTGGAACAACACCAGGCACAACACCAGGTACTACACAAGGCACCACACCAGGTAAGGTCAAATTTTTTTTTGGTTTTAAAGAGAGACACATTACTGTACTTTAAAGGAGTTGGGTTTTCTGAATGTCATGTGGCCAGTGCCTTTGTAAGAAGTGTGAACATTTGTCATTTCCAAAGCCAAACAGCAACTGATAATCAAGTAAACACAGCGCAGATATCTTGAATATAGGTATTTAGTTCTTTATCAATACAACTCCCGGAACAACACCTGGAACCACTCCAGCTACAACACCTGCAACAACCCCAGGAACGACAGCCGGAACAACACCTGGAATAACGCCTGGAACCAGCTACAACACCTGCAACAACACCCGGAACAACACCTGGAACAACACCAGGTTGGGGTCAAATTTTGTTAAGGGTTTAGAGCTAGACACCTTCTGTACTTACAAGGAGTTGGGTTCTCTGAATGTCGTATAGCCAGTGCCTCTGTAAGAAGTGTGAACATTTGTCATGTCCAATGCCAAACAGCAACTGATATCCATGTAAAATTAAGCGTGGAAACTTGAATATAGGTGTAAAGTTCTTTAGTAATGAATATAACATTCATTTTTTCCAAAGGAACAACACCTGGAACAACATCCGTGACAACGCCAGCTACGACACCTGGAACAACACCAGGCACAACACCAGGTACTACACCAGGCACAACACCAGGTTAGGTCAAATTTTGTTTGGGGTTTAAATGTAGAAAAACTAATGTACTTTCAAGGATTTGGGTTCTCTGAATGTCATAGGGTTATTGCCTCTGTCAGCAGATTTGAACATTTGTCACACCTGGTATATGTCATTTCCAATGCCAAACAGCAACTGATAACCATGTAAAATTTAGCGCAGAAACTTGAATATAGGTGTAAAGTTCTTTAGTAATGAATATAACATTTTTTTCTCCAAAGGAACAACACCTGGAACAACACCTGTGACAACGCCAGCTACAACACCTGGAACAACACTGGGAACCACACCAACCACTCCTCCACCAGAACTCTATTTTTCATGTGAAGATTCTATCCAGGAAACGTCTTTCCAGGCAGCTCAACTCGATTTCATAACTGTGGAAATAGAAACTGGAATACCTATAGGCGAGAATTCATTGTACTCCTTCCTGACGGTAAGCTCAACTTCTCATTCCTCTTCAATCAAGCCTCGTTTCAAATATGAAGCGGTTGTATGTGATGATGCATGCAAAGTTTAATCTGCGCTTTAAACTTCTGTATGCTTTGACACATGGCTAAGTTATTTTCTGTATGACCATTATTGTCATTTAATAACATGTTTTTAAAAACATGTGGGAATTAATTTTGCCTGGGTTTACCCCGCCTTATCTTAACGAGCCTAATTTACTTTGTAATGTAAATATGTTATGTTGATCGCTGTTTTTGTATATTTCACAGGGTTAAAAAAAGAAATCTTTAAACAAAGTTATGTGAGCAAACAGCAGACCTGCCAACCAGTACGATTTAGTCGTATTTAGTACGATTTTTAGAAGCAAATACGACAGTACGATTTTCCTCAATAAAATACGATTTAAAAAAAAAAAAAAAAAAAGATTTTTTTTTTTTTTTTTTTTTTTTTTAAATAATTTTGTTGTGGGGGTATTTTGTGTGTGTGTGTGTGCCATTTTCAATGGCAAAATGCCCATTCTGTCCTATAAAGCATCTCACATCGGCAATTTGGGGATGTTCATTGGTTCATCGAACACACCAGTCGTGACAAAATCATGCATATATTCAACCAATGATCCATAAAAAAATTCTTCCTGTATGTAGGAACTGTAAGAGGCATTGATCCGCGTAACAGTCCGTGTTTATTTTTAAGAATACAACTTTTGTCAGCAAAATACAACTTTTGGTATTAAAGAATACAGTTTTTGAACTCCAGAGGTTGGCAGGTCTGAAACAGGAGATGTCATGAAAATATCACTGATTATAATCATGAATCTCAAGGTTTCATCTTGTCTATCAAAAATAAGATGGAGCATTTATGGCATTTGTGCGTGCACTCTTATTGTATAGAAAAAAAAAGGTAATTTTGTGGTCATTGATGATGATTAGAATGAACTAACTGTATCATGAATAAAATAATATTAATCACTCATTTAGGGTATTGAACACAAATGAATTCCTATCCTTAAACTGGGAGCTTAACTTGTCATGAAACAGATTCTTTTTTTGGATAATACCTCCATGCTTTGTCATTCTTTTTCTTCTTGTATCCGCTGGTTGTTTTCAAAGTTAAGGTATAACTCTGAATCAACACTGAGCTGGGCTGATTATTAGGGGTATAAACCAGCTCGGAGATAGTTCATGTTTAAAACAAATTACTAAAATATCCACAGATCTTTTAAAATTGAGAAGTCGAGCTTTGTGTAATTTAGAATAATCAGAGTTAGAGGTGCTTGATGAAGTACCTCAATAATAATAATAATTAAAAAATGGTGCTTATAAATTGCTTACCACGGAAGTCTATACATAAGTGTGAACAGAGTAAGTTTATCATCAAAAGCAGTTTTGAATAAATGTGTCTTAAGACAAGTTTTGAATTGGTTAACAATCTGACAGTTTTTGACATTTAAAGGTAATTTGTTTCCAATGTATAGATGAAATCTAAAATATTGGGTTTTATTTCTTTAATTATTGTCCAATTTCTGTCTTCTGTGCATCGTTGCGTTTAAGTCAGATAAGTGCAAGACCTGAAGCTTCAGTATGTACTGTATTTGCTGCTATATTCTTTAATTTCGTAGTACCGACCATCTCTTTCATTTTCTAATTCCTTTTTCTTTTGAAAATTTTAGGTCACAACAACAGGAATTATCCATTTTTCCAAGCAACGTCCTACAAGAATGATGCTGACTCAATTTACAAATCCTTCCAGATTTGAGTTAAGAGATCTAACCGTATCAGATCCTGCTATTGCCGTTTTTGGGGCACCTGTCGACGCTTATATTGGCAGCCCAAGGTTATATCATGAGGTATGTATGCAGCACGAGTTTATATCATGAGGTATGTATGCGGCACGAGCATATATCATGAGGTATGTATGCAGCACGAGCATATATTATGAGGTATGTATGCAGCACGAGTTTATATCATGAGGTATGTATGCGGCCTGAGTATAAATCATGAGGTATGTATGCAGCCCAAGTATATATCATGAGGTATGTATGCAGCACGAGTATAAATCATGAGGTATGTATGCAGCCCAAGTATATATCGTGAGGTATGTATGCAGCACAAGTTTATATCATGAGGTCTGCACGAGTATATATAATGAGGTGTGTATGCAGCACGAGTTTATATCATGAGGTCTGCACGAGTATATATAATGAGGTGTGTATGCAGCACGAGTTTATATCATGAGGTATGTATATATGCAGCCCAAGTTTATATCATGAGGTATGTATGCAGCTCGAGTATATATTATCAGGTATGTATGCAGCCCGAGTATATATTATCAGGTATGTATGCAGCCCGAGTATATATTATCAGGTATGTATGTAGCCCGAGTATATATTATCAGGTATGTATGCAGCCCGAGTATATATTATCAGGTATGTACGCAGCCCGAGTATATATTATCAGGTATGTATGCAGCCCGAGTATATATTATCAGGTATGTATGCAGCCCGAGTATATATTATCAGGTATGTATGCAGCCCGAGTATATATTATCAGGTATGTATGCAGCCCGAGTATATATTATCAGGTATGTATGCAGCCCGAGTATATATTATCAGGTATGTATGCAGCCCGAGTATATATTATCAGGTATGTATGCAGCCCGAGTATATATTATCAGGTATGTATGCAGCCCGAGTATATATTATCAGGTATGTATGCAGCCCGAGTATATATTATCAGGTATGTATGCAGCTTGAGTATATATTATCAGGGATGTTTGCAGCCCAAGTATTTATCATGAAGTGTGTATGCATCTCGAGTACATAGGCCTATTATCAGGTATATTATCAGGTAATTCTTTGTGCCACACATATAAGCTCCCTTCAACACAGATATCATGGGACAGTCATAGCAAAAGGCTTGTAGATTTTTTAACTGTCATTATGGAATTGCAAAGCCATTAACATTGCAAAAGGCAATACTTCTCTCAATTTTGTTTGGAATAGCACATGTGTCAAACGAGCAACTGTGCATATGAGGCATAGAAAGTGCACTATGCGACCCCATTTTTAACACTTTATGTGACAAGTGTTTTTTCTCATTTAAAAAAAAAGGTGTAGGTAATTCATCACCATTGCTGATGATATCTACAATGCCAAATTTTATGTATAAAACTATTTAAACAAAAATTGAAATGAGTTTCCATTTTTTCTTCACGTTTCAGTTCCTAATTTTATTTTTTATTATAAAGTAAATAGGAGATTCTGTACAAAATCTTCAAATTACTGAGGTAGCATTTATAGTGTTAGATATTTAAAAAGCTTGTTTATAAACATTAATTGGCATAAATTAAACCTTTTTATGCCTCCGTTACGAAGAAGCCGGAAGCATTATGTTTTTGGGTTATCTGTCCGTCCGTACGTCCGGTTTGTATGTACGTATGTCCCGTTCTCGTGATCGTGTTATCTTAAGAACCGACCGATGGATTTCTACCAAACATGTATGTAACTTGCAGAGCCAATGAATTGATCAGATTTTGGGGGTCAAAGGTGAAAGGTCACAGGGCTCATTATGTATGCAAAAATAGCTTGTGATTGCATTATCATTAGAACCGATGGATGGATTACCATCAAACTCTTGCATTTGGGGTCATGCTGAGGTCAAAGATCAAAGGGTCATACATGTATATGAGAAATAGCTTGTAATCATGATATTCTGAGAACCTGTTAATGGATTACAACCGAACTTGAATTTGAAAAAATTTCTTCCACTTTGGTTTGTAAAATTGCTCTATATGACGGAGGCATCACTTTCGACTGCGCGCAGTCGAAGTTCCATCTAATTCTAGATGGAGTAAAGTGTGATCAAAATACCTAGTCTGTTTGTCATGAGTCTTATATCTAAAATTTTAAAGCTCATTTTCATGTTTTTCAAGGTGTTCGAAAGCAGCACCGATGCAATATTTTTCTCAGACCTGAGGAACAGACTAAGAACATTAGTGGCAAGCCCATGGGGCGCGGATAACAATGACGTCATTAATACGCTTAGCACTGCTGTGATGTTTACCTGGAAGGACTTTCAACCTCCCGGTTCAACTGCTGGGGAAGAGGTGAGATAATTCGATCATACGTCAAACTGAATGTTACAAATTCCATACAAAGTCCATACAAAGGTTATCAAAAGTTCATACAAGTTTATCTTTTTTTTTCTGAAACAACCTTTTGTCTTACACATGTCACATCTGTGTCAATGCGTCAAATACGTTAAAAATTGAAGAAAAAAAAAGATTTTTATATTTATTGACCCAATGACCTAGCTATTTTTCATTCTCTATTCTGGCTACCTCCTTCCAATTCACTCGGCATTGCAGATGGCGACGTACCAGGCAATAGTATTTACTAACGGAGCAAGAACAGGCGTACTGATGTTCTATGAGCAAGGTAGTTTCAGCTGGAATCCCCAATCCAAAGCGGTTCCAGTAAGGATTGGTTACAATTCTAAGTATACATGGGTGAACCGGTTACTAGAATCCGATCTTAACGAAAGCTACAAACCAGACCAGTCTATTGGATCACAGTCAGGGACTCAGGTATATACAGTAATTATATGATATTGAATGGCCTTGGGTAGGTCCAGGTAAATCACACTAGAAGATGAGCATATATATATTAAAGCTCACAAAAGAGGGTCATTTAATGTTATCATTATCATTGTATGGAGTCTAGTTTCTCAATTTTGCCCATCACATTCCTCGGTCTTTGTATTGACTTTAAGTCCTCTGGTTTTAATGTCCAATAGACATTAAAACCAGAGGGCAAAATGTATTTTGTCCTAGCTTATATAGGTATTGTGCGCGTGCATCAATTTGATGTGATTTGATTTGATATCTATATCTATTTACTCCATATACATCAACATACTTACCGTTACAATCTTATGATTTTAGATGTATGATAATGACATTGTATATACAGAAAATGGTTTGCCATAAACATAAGTTTTAAGTGACCCTTGTCTTTGGCCTATACCGGTATATTATAACCCACAGCTAAGTTAGTATGCATAGGACCTTATGTAACACGCCGTTGCCATTTCTCATTTTATACCTTCCCCCTTAAAAAACAATAAAAATATTGTGGCTGTTTTTTTTTTATTGGTTTTGGGGACGGGGATTGTTTAATTTGTTTTTGTCTCTTTTTGTTGGTGCTGATTAGAATCGTAATATCTGAATGAGCCTGTATACATATCCAATTTCTTTCTCCTTTGTAATTGCAGGGAGTACTGATTTACAGACTCGACAACAACCCAAGCACATTCGTTAACTCAGGTCTGTTTTGCTCTAACTGGTACCTCGAAGACCAAGCCACCCTCTGGCCACCCTTGTGGTTACGACTTGTATATACACCTCCATGTCCGTGTTCTGTTTGGCAGGCCAATGTTGATCGAAGATATCGTTTCTGCAATTACCTGTTTGACCAATCAGAGCTGTCTGTGCGAAATAGTATTTTCTTTGGTAAGTTTGCACAATTAAGTCCTCGAGTCTACTGTCCATTTGCTATTAGAGGTGCAATTTTTTTCACGTCACTCACAAAAAACACTTTGAACCGGCGTATTAAAGGGCAAGTCCACTCTAAAAATAACTTACTTTCAATATTGCTATCAGAGGCTGAGTTTGACATCTTGTTGCATCGCTTGCAAACAACACTTTGAAACCGGCGTATTCAAGCTGTTTCAAACTTCACCGATACATCGATAACGAATACAAGATTTTCAATTAAAACTTTCACTTGAATACACATTCATATAAGCATTGTAAGGCTTGGCCAACGTGTTTTTCAAGCTAGGTACCGAGCATCATTATTAGGTGATACGTAACGAAGTCAACGTATCACCTTTTGATTTCGTCAAGATTTTTCTTTATTATTTATTTTTATTATTCTTCCTCGAATTTGTTCGCAGGATATCTCAAGACTGAATAAAGCCATTGTCATGAAACTTTCAATGATGATAGATCTTAGTCTAACTTAGAACTGCGTGACTTTTCAAAGACTCAAAGTCATCGTGACGTCATCCAGGCGCCATTTTGTGAAAATCAACTAATGATCATATCTTCATAACGGATAGTAATTTTTCATTCATATTTATCATGATTAAGATCAATATCCGACCGGTCAATTTCAGGTCAATAAATGCACGCAAAAATGCGCGTACGCGTTTGTGCGCGCGTTAACGCGCGCGTAAAATTTTAAATTGCTCAAAATCGTCTTAAATTTTTTTTGCATACGTTTCAGGTCATATGGAGCATTTTAAAAAAAATTACGCACACGCGCATGCGCGCGCGTTTTCGCGCGTACTGGCATTTTGCAACATAGAATCGCCGATTTTTTTCTGTCATCATATTCGGTACATTTTTCCAAGCATTTTGATAATTTGTTCACCTTTTATTAACGCAATGAGCGTCCGTCAAAGTTGACAGCACGCGCGGATTTGCGTTATCTTTATCCACAATACATGGGCAAAAACATGCCTATATAAAATTCATTGTAACTCTTTAGGATAGATAGAAACTCCTAATATTTTTTCATATTTGGATAGATTATGAGTTGCAGATATGATTTCATGTCTCATTTTATCCTCAATTAACTCATGACGTCATCATAATGGCCTTCAAACTCAAAATTTCAATTTGCATATTATGACGTCAGCATATTTTTGGAAAATTGATTGTATCTCTGTAAATATGGATCAATTTTCTTTTTAATTTTGATATGTTCTAGCTGAGACAATTTTCTACAAATGTAGTATTCACAATTTTTATTTTTGACAAAAGTATCATGGTGTATTTTTGCGATTAAAGGAGGCATGTCAATTTTTCGCATTTTGCGTGTATTCTCTATGGGACATGACTTTTTCTCAAAACTGGATTCTACACTCCTGTCTTTCGCGAGCAAAATCTCCGTTGTTTTAGCTTCGTTTTCGCTGAGCTTCGGATATGTTGTAGCTGAGACAATAAGCTATCACAAGTGTGCCCTTTATTTTTTCGATTAGATGCCGGGATCATGCTGATATTTCACTTGCAAAGTAGGATTTCTGAATTCCATTTCCCGTTTACGTGTAATCGCTATGGGAGATGTTTTGGTATATCGGTAACGCACTTGACTTCCAACCTCGAGATCCCTGGTTCGAGTCCGGGTGTCTCAAACAATTTTTTGCTCCACTTTTTTTTCCTTTTGACCTTCACTGTACCATCTCCTTTGATTGTTTAATCACGTAGATTCGCAAATAATGTCATAAATAACCCTTTTTACTTTATTATTACCCTATTTTCACTTAATCCATTAATTTCTGGGTGTAATCCCTATGGGAAATGACTTTTTCTCAAATCTGGAGTCTACATTCCTGTCTTTTGCGAGCAATATCGCCGTTATTTCTGCTTGGATTTTGTTGATTTTTGAATATGTTGTAGCTGAGACTATATGCTATCTAAATCAACCCTCATTTTTTTTCAATAAGATGTCATGATCGCGCTTATGATCATGATCATGATCATCATTATCATAATGATGATAATCATTTATCAATTACATTTTCATTTCTTTGAATAAGATAAAATCGTCAAAAGGTGTTCTTCATGATGTATTTTAGAGTCAAATGTGTAACTGGTTACTGCACAGGGTCAAAGGTCATATATTGTTTCAATCTATCTTTCCTAGATCCATGATGATCAAGGAGACACAATCTAATCTTGACATTTGAATAGATCATAATGGGAGAAGCAATAAATGGGAGAAGCATTTTACAAAATAATATATCGTGTAATGCATTATTCGTTATGTAAACCATTATCATACGTATCACCTAATTCGTCTAAGTGACGAATTAAAGTCTAGTTGTTATTATAATTATTGTTATTATTACTTATTACATTATTATTATTATTACTTATTACAGTACTATTATTATTGATATTGATATTAGGATCTACTATTATTGTACATTGTCATTATTGTCACAATTGCTATTCATGAATGATATTCTGCAGTTGTGAGTCGGTCAAAGGAGGTGCACACCATCTATTTCTTGTTTGTTTGATCTTATGTTTGATCCTATGTTTGACCTCATGTATGTTTGATCTCACTCTTATTTTTATTATTATATATGCATGATTTATTGAATAAAGAACAGATGTATAAGTTGTGTGTTTATTATAAGTTTTGGTAAATAATTTTTTAGTCAGACTATGGTGCGCTTAGAGACACCAGTTTTAAGCGCCTAATAAATATTGTGTATTATTATTGTCATTATCAGTGTTATTATTATTATTGTTATTATCAGTATTTATATCATTGATATTGATACTACTACTACTGAAACTATTGTCATTATAACTATTATTATCATTATTATTATGCATGATCGGAACTACACTTTATCTTCATCAAGGTTTCATCTTCCCATACTGCCAACAACACCGTTGGCTGCCTTTCGGGGGTAGCTACCGATGTACGTACTTCTTTGGGCTTCTACCTGGCTACATAATCGACTTATGGTGGAGTTCTCATTATGAGGCGTATACCTACAATTATCAACGGTGGCTTGGTAAGGACGAATTACACAGTTGTATTTTATATGATTTCAAAAGAAAATCACCTTTAAGCCTCGTTCAGATATGAGGCGGTATTAATTAAGTAAGCGTAAATAAGCTTTGCATTTTTTCGCTCAGTGAACACGTGCATACCGTAGTTGTAGATAAATATTTCCAGGTTGTGAAAGTTACAATTAAAAAAGAAAAATGAATAAATTTTAAATAATACATCAAAAAAACCTGGGTTACCTCTGGACTATCCGTGCTCATGCTATGTTAGTGATGATAATAGTAGTAATGGAATTAGATGAATACTGTACTACTACTACTACTACTACTACTACTACTACTACGCATTAGACTATTACTACTGCTACTACTAATTCCTAATACTACTACTACTGCAATTACTACTGCTACACTCGTACTACTGCTACGACCGTCTACTACTACTACTTCTACTACTACTATACTCCTACTATGCCCACCTCCAATACTATACTCTACTACTACTACTACTACTAATTCTACTACTACTAATACTACTACTACTACTAATACTACTACTACTAATAATAATAATACTAATACTACAATTACTACTGCTACTATACTCCTAGGACTATTACTTCTGCTACTACTACTACTACTTGGTTTGGCTTCATAACTTCAGAGCCCTAAAGTTTATACCAGGGGCAGGGTAGAAAAGGGCAACATTTCTGCACATACTGAATCAATTTTGTTGCATGACCATATTTTGTTGATGCAGGGATTTTTCAAAAGGAAAATTGTTCTTAACTCTGAAATTAGTGACACATTGATAGCTGCTTGGGTTCAAGAATGAACAAAAATTGTACCCATGTATATTGTTTTAAGAGACATTATATTTGATAAGAACAATGTAGCAACACAATGAAACACAACGATTTGATGAATAATATATGTTGAAAGGAATAAGCAGTTCTGATTAAGATTTATCTTATTTTGTTCATACAGCAAATGATGTGCTCCCAAGGTATCACTGCTGCCAAGTAGCTGATGGAGATTTCTGTGATTTGTACGAGGAAAGACGCCCTCCTTCGACATGCTCAAGATATAGACCTCCGCGATCTGGTAAGTTTTTTTAATCTATCCGCTCTTGTTAAGGCATGCCTTTCGTACAAAGCCGCCATTCCTCAACTTGAGTGTGGGTAGATAGTATATAATGAACACAATTGCATGCATCATTTGTATACTATCAGTTACATTATTTTGCACGAGTCGCATTTGCCCGGGGTAGGATCACGGCAGCAATTGCTGTGGTTGTTTACGAGGCATGACCATGAGGAGAGATCGTAGAAGATAGGAACGTAATGAATAGTGCAGTCGCTATTGACTGAGTTGATTCGATGAAAGGAAGTCACTCATCAGTTTCCATGTGTGAAAGGCCATAATTCGCTGACATCAGATTTGGTGGATAAAAATCATTAACGTGTGTACAGGTATTAGGTCTGCACACAGCGAACCTGTAGGCCAATCAAGCAATATACTGCCTCGTCTGGGAGATCTCTGGGTGTGGGAAAAGTGATATAGACCTAATGACTTTACCATGTGGGGGAATGGGTGGAAAACGCAGTACGCTACATAAGGCCTGCTGGTCATAAAACAAGACTAATTCTGGTGCTAGCTGACAGCACCTCCTATTGGGTAACACCCGAACAGTGTTGAATTCCCCATGAGAGCTATAACTACTGACTGTCTTTAACATGCATGATATTAACCAGGTCAAAAAGAAACGCCAGGTGTTATGGGCATTAATAATAATCATAGGGATGATGATGATGATCATGATGATGATTGTATAAGAATTACTGCAAGATTGCTTCTATCCTTGTCATATGAACAGCATGGTTCTGGGGCGACCCCCACATCAACACATTGGATGGAAGAATGTATTCTTTCAATGGTCTTGGGGAGTACATTATGTTGGAGTACAACAATAACGATACATTCGTTCTGCAGACCAGGACTGGCAAAGCCTTCAACAATAGCAAGCCCGTCGAAACAGGAACTGTCTTTACCGGTTTCGCTGCTACGCAGGGCACTACAGTGGTAAACATCTGTTAGCACTTGTTCAGAGATGCAGCGGTAAACTGTGTCGTTTTTTATGATTGCGTAAAGTGAAGGACGTATGCTTCACGTTTCTGTATCGTTATAACACAAAGCTCAAGTGAGTCACGTAGGATTTTTGTTACATAAAGATGCCATTCATTTAAACTTATATACAAAACGCTGCAGGTTACTGTGTCATATCTGAACAAGCTTTTAAGGTGAAACCTGTATCTATAAAGACTGCTATAGATAGAAACAACAAAAGTGGTATGTGTAGACAGGCGATCTTTATTGACAGGTTTCTTTAATATGTATTTCAAAGAAAAATCAGTAGAAACTTTATGAACAGACACTACAGCAAGGGAAACAAGAATTGCAGTCTCTGTAGAAAGGTGGTCCTTATTGACAGGTTCATTTAGTATGTTTTTGAAACATAAATCAGTGGAAACTTCATATACAGACCACAAGATAGAGGGAGACAATGAACTCTTGCTATCGCCAATATACTTCCAAACGCTCTATTGTAGCTATAGCTCTTGGGCGTAATTTCGATCCAATTGCAGGACTTCTTACTTCTGGTGTGCGGTGGTGCGTGCGAAGTTCATGTAATATATGCATGTGCATTGTACGTAAGCAGGTGTCGAAAAGCTGTTTCCAGTTTCCTTAGTTTTTGTTACGGCAGCAACAAAAAAACAAGAGAAAGATACTCTAAATCATTGATGACCAGATTAAATAAAACAATGGAAGGCCATTCTCGTAACTTCAGAATATGCATACCTTACCAAATCATAGTATGTCCGTTGGTCCTCCATTAAGCCAAGGAACCCTAGCTATATTGTAGTCCGTCTGTTAGTATTTTAGACAAGTTTTTGCACTTGCCAATTTCAATTTCAATTTCAATTTCAATTTATTCATGTTTCCAACAAAACATTACAAATCAATTATAAGCATTTAAAACAAATGTAAAAAATACATGTTGAAAACAGAGAGGTCCACTAAAAAGCAATGCTTGTACAAGTGTGAACACAATCAATAAATTTGATGTTATTTTTGCTATGCTTCTACTTGCTCTTGCCCATCACACATCCAAATATCTTTTTGTTAGTATGTAAAACAATGCTTTCATACTTTTTTGGTAATGATCTATTGAAAATTGTGATAAATAATTCTTATTACTGTCGAAAAATAAAGTACACACTTCATTTTATATTTTTTCTTATTTTTTAAATATTTGTTTGTGATACATGTGTGCATGCTGAATGTGTTCTCTTCTAAATGCTTTAATAAACAGGTTGAGTTTTCCCTAAGTGACAACAGAACGGACCTGAGGATTCTCATTAACAGAACCGACGAGATAACCGACTTTGCCGAGTTAGAAGGAGGTGAGAGAGGAGCAATCCAATTTACTTTCGTATACGTTTCTCCGTGCAAACAAAGATTGTTTTATTGCACACTTGTGGAACAACAAACTGTTGGGTGTCATGTAATTCTCAGGCAATAGGGATGGTCCCTACAGAATAATTGATGGGTGGTACCCTCAACCATTCCAAAGGCAAGGGGGGGGGGGCTTAAATATTATCAGTATTGTTGTTATTTTGGCCAAGTCTGTTATCATGTTTGTTTAAGGTCATTTAGGCACCCCTTCTATCTAAAAGCAATCTTTCCTTGTCTAGGAAAAGCACAAAGAGATTCATAATTTGAGTTAGATAAGTATAAATATTGTTATCACTATTATCATAAATAGTAGTAGTAGTGGTAGTAGCAGTAGAAGAAGTAGTACTTCTACTACTACTGCTACGTATATTATTATTACTTTTATTATTTTTATTATTATTAGCAGTAGTAGTAATAGTAACATATAGTTATTTTTGTGTTTATCAACAATAACAACAAAAAAAAATATTTTGGGCTTAAATAGCTTTACATATATCAAATCAAATTATAAGAATTAAATGTTATCATTATACTCCCTCCATTATTCTCTCTGTCGTGACTAAGACGGCTATGCCTCTGCAGATTCTTCGTTTTCATTGACGCGTGAGAATGGAACCACTGCGGAGGAAATCAAGGTCAATGCTTACTTTCAGGTTGGTGACACGCCCGCTACATCTTTCACCGTGTCCTTTTCTAACGGGATTCTTCTCGCGACTGTTGAGGCACCGCCGGAATACGATGAAGATGGACCTGGTAGAGGTCTTCTGGGTAAGTAGTCAGTTTTTACACTCTAAAAACTAGAGCATTTACACAGAGCTGTTGCCAAATCATTTTGAATCGGGTGTAGGGAGGAGGGGAACAGCTTGTACACATGCATATAAACAAGTCGACTGAAATTCTAGAATTTGACAGTTTTCGGATGGTAAAATATGCCAACAGCCTATAAAATTGTTGTATTTTCGACGACAGTAACATTCTAATATGGGTGTCTTGCCTGGTCATGTGATAAATGAAGAGCTGTTCGCATACTAAACAGGTGATGGGTGATGCACTTGGCTATTGAAGTTGCCTCAGGTGTTTTTGCAATCATGTTTATCTTACTTTATCTAATGCTGGATCACAAACCAATGTTGCACGAAGCATGTTAAAGTGTTACATTCGTCCTTTGAGAACGATGTCACTCCTAATGCCCTAGGCCTTTCGGGCACACGTAAAAGGTTATAACCCACGGGCGATGCATTCTAATAACAGGTGAGTGAAATAATTCTAAAGAGAGGCAAAAGACAAAGACGAAGGCATTAAATTTGATTATGCGTTAAGAAAATTAACAATTTCCTTTCATATCTCCAGGTAATTTAAATGGCAATAGTTCAGACGATTTCTTGCTCCGAGACGGCACCACTCTTGAGGATTCGCTAGCCACAAACCTCACGGACAAGGAGATATTTGACTTCGGACAGTCATGTAAGTTGATCTTTACTGCGTTACGATTGAAAATTCTCAGACTTAACCCTATTTTAACTGGCTATTTCAGACCAGGTTTTTAATGGGGAGGGGGGGGGGGGGTCAATTTGACCCCTTCCCCAAGACCTCAGCCGTTTCACAGCTGATCGCCGCAAAAATTTGCATGCATGTCGAGTGAAGTGTATAGAATACTATGGTTATTTCAATTTTTTGAAACATTCACTTATCACTCATTTGCTAATTTATGGTAATTTATGCAAATAAGGTCATAAAATTTACATTTTTACCCATGAATCATATATTTTTCATATTTTAGCATTCTTTTTCACTACATATTTTTCGTTAGACCATTTGGAATAATAATACGGCAACAAAAATTGGAAGAGCCAGGTAATTCCTCACGTTATCTGTTGATTTGATAATTTCTTATGTATTTCATTGTTTTTTAACTTACGTATTTTATTGTTTTTGTTGTTTTATTTCATTTCTAACTACAATTCAACTATTTTGACCCCAAAACAGACACCTAATCTTTAAACAAGACCAAATAACCAATGTTTTATCTCTTTTTAGGAAAAATGGTAGTTCCATATGTTTTGTACACAAATCACAAAAATCAGTGATTTTTGGGCCGACATGCAAAGACAAAAGGTCACGTGACTTTGTAACTATTACATCCAATTTTCAAAAAAATTGTTTGAAAAGATGCGTAAGACTCGAAAAGAAAACTTTATATCTGCCGTGGTTCCGGAGTAGTCGCTAAATTACTACAGGAGGGGTCAAATTGACCCCCTCCCCAGTTAACATAGGGTTAAGCCTCGTTAAGATATGGAGCAGTTAACCACAGGAATTTTGTTAACATATTCACTTGAATTATTCCATATATAGTTAATAGGAACTCCAGGGTAAATAAACGAGGATAAAAACTTGTCATTTTTATAATTATTCATATGGTTATCATTACTAAAACGGTAGTCGAAAATCTGTCTTTCCTAAAATGGAATCTCCTCATTGCAAACCCCAGAAAAAAATAAACGGAGATAAATCCCTGTTGTCCTAACCATACTTTTTGTTAATCACCTTTTTCCCTGTTGTCAAATTATCCTCATTGCTCCTACTACAATGCATGGGTCAATGATCACCTCTCAAACTATTGCCAAAATAGCCTTTTATGACCTCCAAATCGCCTTATTTCTTCATTGCAAACTCTAGGGCAAGTTAGTGAGGTCGAGTCCCTGTTCGAGTACGGCAAGAGGAACTGGACCTATTACAACCCCGCAAACTACACACCGATTTTCCTGAGTGATCTTCTGGCTCAAGACCCCGAGCAGACAGCTGCTGCAAGGGCGGCATGCGGTGACGATGAAATGTGCTTGTTTGACTACCTTGCCGTAAGCCCAGAACTGGGAGCTATGACTATGGAGGCCGGGAATACATTTGATGACAACCTTGCCAACCTAGGTATCGATTTAAGCTTTGTTCCCATTTTGTCTCGTTTACATAATTTGCAGCGGAAAATCACAGTGGCTTAAACAACAGCGTTTCTCTTTTTATGCACTAAATAATGATTTGCACGTACGTGGGAATAAATCAGTTTTGTAGATTCACAAAACAAACGTCCAATGCATATCTGTGTGTCGTACAAAGAAATATACAAATACATTAATGCAGTATGCACTTAAACATTACAAAACAAAAACCTTCATAACACAGTAAACTGCCATGTTTACAACAGCCTATGTGGACGAGCTTCTAAGATTCGGGAATAACTATAACCATTGAATCTATAGGTCTAAGCCAAGAAGGTATTGTATACAATAAATATTTAGCTGAAGTCTTGGTTAGTATGATAAGCATAGATCTGTTAGCAGGTAGAACGATTTCTGCATAATTTGTTGCACAATAATATAATTTTCAGAGTAGGCTATAGTCCTCACCTAAAAAATGACGCCTCATTGGCACCTGACATAGAATGTAGGAGTCATTGATCATCATCATCATCATCATCATCATTCATCGATCATCATCATCATAATTTATTGAAATCACATTTTCCCTCTTACAAAGGATTATCAGTACTGACTTTCACGCCATGATAACACTCCTTCCCTCCACTTCTTCTTGTCTCAAGCATCCTCTTCATTTAGACCAACCTTTAATACTGCTTTCTTTCTTCGCCACATCTGTCCGTGATATCCTCGGTCTTCCTTCTCTCTTATGCCATTCACTTTCAGATTCCACGCTCGTTTTACAGGTTTATTATCTACTCTTGTAAACACATGACCAATCTATCTCAATCCACTTTCCTTTATTTACCACTTCCAACACATTATCTTCTAGACCCGATCTTTCCATGTGCTCCAATGTGTTCTTTTTATCGGACAGTTTCACACCACAATCCATATGATTTGACATCAATGAATTTCCAGGGTTATATGTCACAATATAAATGATGCGTCCTGTAGGCATGTACGTAGCATAAGAGAACAAAAATAAGGAATAAATAAAGCCATGAGATCATCAATATAATTGGATTTGATTCGATGTGACTAAGTTTTATTTTGACCGGAGGGCAACATCAGTGTTCAAAATACTGTTCTTCATGGGGGTCTTGTATACAAGTCAATAGCCATTCAGCAGTTCAAATTACGTCAAACACAATTCAAAATCAATTATGGTAATATCAAATGAGGGTAACGCATAAAGTAACAACAAATGAAGTATTACAATATAGCCAATTTGAAAATAAGAACCATGCACATCTAACAGCGTTCATATTTTTTTATGAATTTAATTGTATAATTGATCTGAGTGCATCTTAAGTTATCCAGGGCAAGAATCAGAATGGTATTATTTTATTTCGCGATCTCGATTTCTTCCATTTCCTACCTACCGCAAACCGAAGGGATGGATGTATCCACAAATCCGTATGCATCGATGGTAGGCCCAGCTTAACTTTTTGTTTAGCAAGGTGTAGAAATTTGGAAAATATGCCATCTTCGGCTTGCATCAGGTTCTGGGGATCGAGATCGTGGTGGTGAAGTTATTGCAAAATTAAATGATAAATTTCTTTGTTATCTTATTTTTCCTTCTCAGAAAATTTCCCGCCGAACGTAACTATGATCACTGACATCAACAATGTTCTGCAAAACAACGTACTTTGTGTTGAGGTTAACGAAACTGTTCAGCTGATGTTTACGGCTGAAGATCCTAATGCAAACGATATAATCAATTTTACTTTAGCCGACTCTGTTCCCGACGGTGCAGCTATCGACTCTGGTAAATACAAAACAACATTTGTTATTGTATTTCAGTGGCTATAATGCGTTTGTCATACATTAGTTGCAGTTGGGAAGTACACACATTTTTGCCTGTGCTAATTAACAGTTAATGGATACAATTTGCATTTCGACTATTGAAACAATTACCCATAACCAGTTACTGAAATGATTTGTAATGAGGCACTTCACGAAGATGTATGCATTGTATTTACACTTACACAAATGGCCTATCGTTTCATGAGGATTGATATGCCTGGCAATGGGCATTGAATGAAGGCTAATACACTATGAAAAGGTTGGACAATATTTTTCCAAGACTTTGCTCAACATTGTGCCAATAGTCAACCCAATCATCAATTGGGCAATATTTTGCCCAGTGTTATTGGTAAACATAAGTACCCTACTTCGCACGTGCATAATTGTTTCATATTTAGTCCAAAATGTGGGCAAAGATGTGATCCTTCAACTGCCCGACTACAGTAGCCCACCCGTTGGGACAATCTTCACTAGCTGTTACTTGTTAGGCAAAATACGAAACAATTATGCACGTACTTACATATACCAATACTTCTGGTCAAAATATTGCCCAATAGATGGTTGGGTTCACGATTGGCACAACGTTGGGCAAAGTGTTGGAAAATATTGCCAAACCTTTTCACAAGACAACAAATCTAAAAGTCAGAGAAGCAGATTGGTGAAAGTTTAAATGAAACGGGCATAAAACAATAAAACAAGTCATGATTTTGTTCAAATGATAAGTACTATACGTACGGGAACTTCAAATTGGTTGAATCGGTGATGTCACGTAGTTCCCGAAAACCTTCTTCCAATTGTTTCAACAAACAAAAAGACTAAAATGTCAATTTGTCAAAATGTTTTTACTCATGAGAGTCTTTTCTTTTAAGAGGACCTATGATAATATGCTTTCCATAATGTTTTGATAAGTGCCCAAAGGGAGAAGTAACTTCAGCAAAAAAATAATGATACGTGTGTACCATAAACGGGAGAGCTCTCCATGGCTGTGTCACAATCCATTGACGATGTTTCTACTGTGAGATTCACAGATTGTTATAGTGATCTCCAATTTCTAACGTTCTTTACTTTCTTGGTAGCAATTATTTTCTTATTTTTGTTTGTTTTATGAACCTATTGTAAAGGTTGGATTGCCCTTTAAAGCAATGATGAACTGAGAAACTTTCTGCCCTAGCAAACTGTTCATTGCACAGTCCCATTTCATGGTCAACTTTCCAACAGTGCTATAACAAAGCAGTAGTCGCCACATTGTTTCCAACTCGAACCAGGTTGGTCAAACTCTGTGTATAGATGGCTCTGTTTTACAGTGTGGCTGTATTTAACAACTTTCTTGTTTTAACTTTCAGAGGGCCGTTTTGAGTGGACACCGTCGAGTCTCAATGTTTCAAGGATTGAAGTCGTGGTCAGTGATGAACGAGGTGCACAAACGGTGGTCTCCTTTAAGGTCAAGATCTGCGAATGCATGAACGAGGGAGTATGTGACTTCAAGACCCTAGCTGTAGGCCAGAATCTCAACGCTAATGGATTCGCGGTGAGTTGATCGGTATTTGCATACACTTAAGAACCAAAGTACTAATGTCATAATTTCTTGTCGTCCAGATTATACTGGTTCGAAATAACATAGCCTGTGTATGCGATTCAACACGAAATAATTCAAGCAACGGGCTGGGTCAGGGCAAAATCAGTGTTTGGAATCATCAACCTTGACAACTTGTCCAGTACGACACTTGGTTTACATGACCTACAAGTACAAGAAACAGTATTTATTTAATGACCAGCCTATCCTAAGCATTACTTGATATACATATCAAATTGAACAAACGATTGGTTGCGTGCATGTATTTGCAATACTTTATGTTGTAACATGCAATTGTACGCACAGTTGATCATCTGGATCATCTGATCATAAATTTGCATAATTGTTTCATTTTCAGGTTGTCAAGCGCATTTGTACCAACGGTTTATTCAGGCGATCATGTAAAGAGTTGCATGTTCTATTTTTCCAGGGGACTTATTCTAGAAACAATGTTATCTTTATGAAAAAATGATGCCAATTGTCAATTAGCGTACTGAAATTACACGGAACAAAATCTTTTAATTGGTGGTCGCCTCTTTAAATCTAAAGTTGTCATATGAAATTGTAAATGCGAACAATTGCCATGTCAGGTATCAACAGATTGCGGTACGTTTGTCATTGTAAGGCCTTGTAAGGAGAGTCCAAAAGAGGCCATTCAAATTGGTTCGCTGCAGCTCAGATAATGATATGTCTCATTAATCTATTAAAACAAAAAAGTAACAAATAATTTCTTTAGAATGCACATATCACATATACAATTTGAGGAGCAAATAATGTAGGAATGCGTAAATGTATTTACATTTGTTAAACATTCAGGTTGTCACGTGCAATTGTACCATCGGGTGGTCAGGTGACCATTGTGATGTAGAATTTGACGCCTGCGCAGAGTCTCCCTGCTACGAGGCGGTACTATGTATGGACAACCCTGCTGGGGTGACGCCTGACTTCGTGTGTGGTGACTGCCCTCCAGGCCTGCAGGGGGATGGAGAAACATGCTATGGTAAGCGGTACCAAATCACTATAGCTTTGTTCTAATATTGATACGGTGAACCAACTAAAACAAAAATTACTCCCTCCCCCCAAAAAAATAAAAATAAAAAAAATAATAATAATTAGAACATATGCCTGAAACTAAATCAGAGAAGAGGGAGATAGAGGAAGATGAAGAGGAAGAAGAAGAAGAAAAAGAAGAAGAGGAGTAAATGAAAGAGAAAGAAGAAGAAGAAGAGGAGGAGGAGGAGGAAACTGTAGTGGAAGAAGGAGAAGATGAAGCAGAAGAATATGATAGCTAGTGACTGGATCTCTGTAAGCTTTCATTTTACTTTACAAGATGTGTAAACTTGCATATTTTTATTGGTAAAAACTAAATATTAGCAAAGCATATATATATATATATATATATATATATATATATATTAAAGTATTTCATTAGTCCACATTAGCAACTCTCGACCCAATTGTTAACAGGAGTACTCATTGCAATTACGGCTGCCAGAGCTAAAGACATGCACCATCCAAACTTCTTTGGAAGCACATAGGGGTGATAAATCAATATCAATATGATAGGCGCTACTCAAGAACAGTTTATTATCATCATTATCATGATTTCTCCTTCGGAATTTAAGATGTCAACGAATGCCAAAGCAACACGACCAACGACTGTGATCAGACCTGCCACAACATCCTCAATGGGTACTACTGTTCTTGCAACGATGGATTTACTCTTTCTCTGGATACACATTCGTGTATAGGTATGAATGCAGGAGGACCGTAGAAACTAGGGCTCCGGCAGGGCCCTGATTCAATCACATTTGTTTATCAATGCGAGATTTCTATGGCTGATTTACTCTCAGTCAATCAAACGCACAAATTTAAAGGCCCACTGCACTACTTGTAGCTACTTGCGCCCTCTATGTAACAAACAATGCCTAATCGGTGACCATTGGTCCCCCATGATCCTCTTTTTCTTATGTTAACTGAGAGCTGAGTTGATGAGATAACCACCTGTCCAGTGACCTTGCCGGGCAATCTAATCCCTCCTATAAACTATGGCAGATAAGCTTTAAGGAGCTTATAACAGTTATTGTTACATGTCATTGAGAACAAGTTTCATGAAAAAGGACCTTGGTCAAAACATAATTATACAAGTAAAAATAGTCCTTTGGCAATTGATGAAAAATAGACAAGAAAATAGACAAACTAGAACAACCATAGGAGATACAAAATATATAAATTTTTAGTTTAAAGCGTTTGTTCAAAATTGACAAATTTATTAGAATCTTAGCGTTCTTCAAAACTTGCGAGATTCAACAGTTACTAAATGTGCAATATCACTTCTTCTTACCTTATATAAGAACTGAATTATTCATACCCCTTGTATACTTGATGTTTATCATATGTTATTCGTAACTCAAGAAAGGTGGACTAGTTGAATTAGGGCCATTGTTGAATACTTTATTTTTAATAGATGAAAGCTTTAATATGTAACATTCTCAAGAAACATTATCATAGGCATGTCAAACATTAAATGATGTTCATGAGCATGATGTATAAACTTTTTTTCGAATTCACAGGAAATTGTTAATGATCTATCCACGAAAATCAAAACGAAAATAAGAATGAGAAAAGTTGTCATAAGTCTTCCTATCTCTATGAAGCATAAACATATGTATGCCTCTTCACAATCCTGATGAAACTAATTTGTAAGCTTTGTTATAACATATATTGTGTTAATTTAATTTTAATTTTTTTAACAGACAACGCAGGTTGTACACCTACTGCAATGAACAATACTGGTTCTCCGAATTGTACATGTGAACCTGGTAACGAGTTTGGTAATGGAACCTGTTCAGGTGAGATTTCTTGAAGTGCATGTGTGTACATAAGTTATGTAAGAATATATATCACATGCATGTAAATAGCTCTCGCTTCATCATCCAGATGTTATAAAACCATAAATTACTGATACGATAGCAACTAAATTCAGAAAATCAATCTAACGCAATTTCAATAGCCGTGTGCATTTCCTATTAAAATGTGCCAACATGACAGTGATATACGTATTCCGAACATGATTTCTAAGGAACATACAATAAGGTATTGAAATCACATCTTACTACTTCTAAGTAAAATACCTTCAGCCAACCCTTAATTGAGCAAAACTGATGCAAAGTATCTATAGTAGGACATGAATCTAAAAATATACATATTTGTTTTCATATAACTGTACCATAACCTCCAAATACTACGTAAATGTGAGTAAAATTGTATGTTTTGTCGTGATTTCAGATGGGACCCGGGTAGCGTTTCAAGAAACGTCATATATAAAAGTTCACAGACATCTACCGTAATTGAGCACTATACAAATCATTGTTATTATTAAAACATACCTTGAGTTAGATATTGTAAATAGAAACAAATATTTGTATTAGATGTTGCTTATAACTATCGGCGTGCATGGTGATGTAGATATACAGTAGGACTATACACACACTCAAGAAAGAAATATTATCGACAGTCCTTTTCAGGACTCCCCAAACCTCCCCCTCTCTCTCTCACATGGTGCAAACCATAAACCTATAAATATATGTATGTTTATGCAGATTTTGATGAATGTTCAGAAGGAATTCAGAATGACTGCCCTGAAGTTTCAACATGTATAAATACAGATGGGGACTACTTTTGTGACTGCATGGATGGCTATAATACAGTCAACGAAACAAAGTCATGTGAAGGTAAAATAATACTACACTTAGATGTCATGTATAGCGTATGAATGAGCGTATTGAAAGAGATAGTTGTGACATGCCTGCACGCATATGATCCTTAAGTGGCGTATGCCTGTGTGCTTGTCACAACTATCTCTTTCAAGATGCTCCAGTCATGAGGGTTTGGGGACATTGATTATAATTATGATTAGAAATTATAAGTTGTAGTAGAATTTAAAAAATATGTTATTGGTTTCTCGTTCTGTATAAAAAACATACATTTTTATATTTATTATTGCTTATTGACGATTTACTTATTGACCTTTATACCATCTTTTTAAACATACATATTCATGTGCATTAATATTACGTTTACATTTGATTCATTTACATTTGATACAATTTATACAATGTAATACATTGCGTAGAAAAGGAAACCAATTAAAATATACACTTGATTTATAACATGCTATCGCGGGGCTACAGCATGAGCATGAATCTTGATGGGCTCGCAGCCTTCAGTTAAACTAAAAATTAGATATAAAAGGTAGAGAGTGACTTGCTGTTATAATAAAAATATAAAAAAGGGGGATGAAATTGCATGTTTTCTATCTACAACAATAAAAACATGTTCTAATAAGAAGACGAGTTTATGAATTGAATGTTGCTTTGTAGTAGTTAGGCTATTTGCTGTTACCTATCTGATAATCATACCAGCATCTACATAGCTTTGGCTATTTTAGTCATGTTTTATTCATTAAATTTTCATCCTATGATTTTTTATTTGTTTTTATATGTTATCATTTTGTATTGAATGTACATTTGTTATTTTGTGGATATTGCTACGATCATGTCTTTTAACTACAAGACCAAGATTAAAAAACAGTGCAGCAACTGATTTTGTCATGCTAAATAAATATGTAATTTGAATAAATGTAACATTTTATTTGTCCCCTTTAGATATTGATGAGTGTGCTACTGGCAACCACATGTGCAATGAAAGTTTGAATCGTGTGTGCATGAACACCGTGGGGAACCACACCTGTATCTGTAACATGAATTTTACCCTTGTCGACGGATCATGCATATGTAAGCTTTGATATAGTACAATATTTTCACATTTATTTAGGTGCAAATATTTAGATTCTGGCTCAGTTTACACGTATTTAAAAAAGAAAATTATATATTAACCATGTAATTGAATTCATGCAAACAAAAAAGGCTAGAAACATCGGGCAGATTCCAGGAGTTAAACAAAAAATCAGGGAGTGATCAAATGTTAGTGCTTATATCTATCATAGATTATGTTAGTGAGACAACTCCCTGTCTAACCTAGTGTGCGTTTATTGTCTGCATAGAAATTTAAATCTCACCATTTAATCGGGAGACAGGTATCAAAGAAACACATTCCTGATGGAATAAATGTTAGAGTACCTTTAACTTGTCATCCTTTCTAAAATATCTCCCGGCTATGCTTTTTAATATTAGAGTACCATGCCTAAAGAACGTTTGGCACGTTACAAAAAGGAAGAAAGGAACTTTAGAATATAGCCGTAGAGTAGCATTAGTGTGTGTGCATGAGGTGGAGAATAGAAAAACGTAGATCGCGGAATTCCTGTTTACAAAAAAACCTTTCCGTCTTTTGGACTCCGAGCTTCAGGTCCCCCAGGGGTATAACCTGCGTGCATGAAGTGCGCTCATTTATTTGACTTCCCAGTTCTTAGGTCAACAAGTTGCAGCTTTTCGCACCACAACGTTTTGCTAATCTATCTAAAATTTATTCAGCTTTCATTTGATATTTCTTGTGTATTTCCAATAATGCTTTCGCTGTGATATCTATACTAATGAGGGTGAGCTGACTGCTTTAAAATGTATTTCATATAACTTTTTACTGATAGCTGCTTACTCGTACACTCTGGAACTGAATTTGGACTTCATCAACGACATAGCAATCCAGCATTATACAGACACTGAACAAAACCGGAACCGACTAGCCAAAGAGGTAAGACACATTATCACATACTAGTTCTTGGCATCTACCCGATTGCTAAACTTGTTGCAGGCGCCAAGCAATGCTATTGTGTGTGTATTGGGTTTGTCGACGTAAATCAATCAGATATGATTTTCTACGTCTGGAGACCAACTTTTAACGTCACCAGCTGGAAGACGTGACTCAGTTTTGAACCAGATCATAGGTGAAAAAATTAAAGCTGACCAAGTGAATATACCACTAGATCGACGCTAATCTTTATCCTGTCATATATTATAGGAAATTTTCCTACAGACCTTCATTTTTTTTAAAACAAAAACAAATGCTAAATTTCCCGCGTAAATTTCTATGACAAATTTGCTCTCATGCATTCAAATACCATGGCTTCAGTAGCTTTTATTTATAACAGTTAATGTAAGTAGTTATTAATTACAAGTTTTACGAAAAAATATGGCCAAGTACTGTTTATTAAATTGATATTGTATTTAATTAGAAAATTGAATTTAAACCAACAAGAGAAAATAACAGGTGTAATTTAAGCTTTCTTTTAAGATAATTTAGAAATGGGATTTCTCCTTTTTTTTTTAGATGAATGGATGTTTTTTCCTTTCATGAAATTCATTATTCAATGAGTATTAAGTTATGAATTTGGTGGTTTAAAGAAAACTTGTTCATGAAGGAACCCTAAAAATATGTCTGGACTCTAAATGCTTAACCCATGCATCGCAGGTGTTTGACCAGCTTAACAGTACATCTGTTATCGGAGATGGGAGCCTCGCAGATGTTATTGTGACTAGTTATACCGTGGTCGGTGGCAGCGCTTTCGTCGAGTTCCGGATCGACTCGTTCAACCCTAAACTGAACGCTACCTTAGAGTCTGTGTTCACTGACTCCCTTCCACCTAGCCGAGTATTTGGGTCGAATAACCGGATCGTCGCACAAGGTGAGATATGTTGTTATGCCTCCGCCACACATTTTGAGCATCAGAGGCATTATGTGTTTGGGTTGTCCGTCCGTAATCATTACACTTAGGAATGAATCAATTAAGGTATCATAGTAAAACTTGGTGAGAGTATGTACGACATTTTTTGTGAGATGATTCAGTTTGAGAACTGTGTGGCCTATTCTAGTATCTGTCACGGTCCACTCACTTATATAATACAATGCACAGTGGTAGAACTATACTGACTGCACAGAGATACAGCATATGTAATGTGTGTACACAATGACCGGTGCATTTTCTTCAATTCCAATAGGGTCCATTTAGCATTTATTGCATTTATTGTAATAGGTTGATTTTTCAAAAGTAGTTCCTTTCCTGTTATACATGTATGTACTATAATTGCCAATACTACTTCGAAATGTACTTACGAAGGGTAGAGAAAACCATATTATTATAATCAATATTCTTGATACTTTTTTCATCTCACACGGATGTTGTAGACGTCGACGAGTGCGAAGTGTTTACTGATGCTTGCCGTAACGGGAATTGTACGAACACCGTTGGGAGTTTCTACTGCACGTGTAACAAAGGCTTCGTGGGAACAGGAACAGATTCTTGCATAGGTAGAAACATTTTTTTTTAAATTTCTGAAGGTATAATGAATAGTAGTGAAATCCTTTATCTCTTATCTTGCATCTAAAGAGATTTCTTGCTTGTAATAATGACTTGATTTAGACATCCTTTTTTTCCCCATCCTATTTGAATGTTCATTTCTACTAACTGGCTTCACTTAAAAAAACTACAGTTATATACACCCATATACAGGAATGATAATTCTTAATTATACTCGTGCCTTGAGCATTTGATTGTCAAGTGGATTTGGCCCCTTATAAATCTTATGTATTCTCATTGTTATAATAATTTACATAGATATATAGTACATGTATAACATCAAATAGTCACCTGGATACGGATTATACTTTTTCTGCATTACTTTTTTTTTCTTCCTATTGCATTTTATTGATTAATTCTTCCTTTAAATCCAGAGTACAATTAGTACATTATTTGAGTAGTTGTTCTTCTATTACTGTACCTATATGTAATGATTGTCATGATCGTATATATTTGTATTTTTAGCCTGTAATTATTTTATTTTATTTTATTTTGTAATTAATTTGGCAACAGAATTTGTACATTGGCTGAGATGAAATTTGATTAACTAAAAAATTCAATTAGATAAATCTGTATGTATATGTATACTCCGAGTTTCACACCTTGCAAGCGATAATCAGGCAATATATATATATATATATATATATATATAAGAATAAGAATATTCCTGCATCGGTTGACGAAAAGTAGACAAGTGAAGAAGGAATAATGAAAAACAGCTGGTGTATGCGATACAATATACATTTATATTGAGAAAGGTTGTTTATGTTATATAAGCATAGGAAATTGTAATGTTTTAATAGAAATGATATTTTTTTAACTAAACAATAAGAAACTCACAAATGATTTTGCATCTTTATCAGAACTCAACCTTATCTTTAAATCTAATAAAATTTTGCAAATGCATTTTGTATACATTTTGTTTTGATGAACAGATATAAACGAATGTCTAGGGGAGAATGACTGCCAGCAAAAATGTTACAACGAGGATGGTGGATACTCATGCGCATGCCGGGATGGATACGAGATGGATGGCAAATTTAATTGCACGGGTAGGTTCGATCAAACACCAATTTCATGTGATTGTGTTAACATGTTCCATCACTTCACTTACAATGTTCTGCATGTTACAAGTTACAGTACTCTAGCCATAATATATTCATGAATGTTACTTTTGTAAAGAGATTTTGCAAGTTTAAATGCACTCTACATTAATATAGAAGCAACTTGTGCGTAGCCTATCTGAAGCACTCGTTCGCGCTCGTAAAAATAGAGCTTGTATGGAACCCACATCCGACTTGGGTTTCGTGTGGGATATTTTATATTTCTTTATTTTTGTTCATACTCTCTATATGTTAGCCCATAGAAAGCAGATGTAATTTTTTAGGGTAATTTTATACATTGTAGCAGTGTACAAACCGTTTTATTACTTGATTGGAAAACTTTTAATGTATTCTTTGAATATACAGGTGTAGGAATCCACTCTTTGCAGAGTAATATTTTTGTGGATTTTCACACATTTTGTTGTGGAAATCAACGTACAAAATAGTGAATCCACGCTCAAAAGAATAGTTTAAACTAGTATTTTGAAGTGGATTCAACTCGTAACGAAACGATCTCTCTAAGCGTGATTCGAAATTTGTATTTGGATACATATATTCCAGGTATTCAATCATTTAATGTCCTATTGGAAGAAGATATTTCATTGAAGTGCGATCATCCGTTACATTTTGATAAGACATTGAAGAGGTTGGTGGTTGTTTTTGTTTATAATGTCCTAGTGAGAATTTGGTTTAATTTGCTTTGAGCTATTTCTGATTATGATACATTATATTCCGCATACTAAGAATCTTGCTCTACGATTGGTCATAAGTAAATCACGTGATCAAAGATAGTTCACCCATCATTGATGGGAGAAGCAACAAGTTCGTTGCCCTTTGTAGATAGTACTACTATCTACAAAGGGCAATGCACTTTTACTGAAGACAGAGGTACTATCTACAAAGGGCAACGCACTTTCACTGAAGATTATCCAAAAGCGCACTAAAATAGGCGTTATTAAGCGCGCATTACCAATGAGCGCAATTAAAGCAAACACATGCGCGCACCGTACCCTCAAGGGGTTGGGTTAAACTTTTAACCTTTTTGGTGTGAATTTTATTTGGGCCTGGTGTCTTTCATGTAGATGCATACACATCCTTTTCTTGTTGTAGTTATATTGTTTTTAGATGTGGAATATAAAGCAAATAATCACCTTTCGGTTTCAGGCGATGGCAAACTATCACTTCCTCGTCGATCAGAATGTATACGCTATCTTTCCTCAGCTTCGCTTCGGAAAGATAGCTACATCCAGATCGCCTCGGAAGTGATAGTTTGTCCCATCACCTTCACCAACGGTAGTTATTTGCTTACTATTAACCTGTTGACTACTGAATTATCTAATTCCCATAGGCTTAACACAGGGACCACCAGGTTCCAGTAAGCAATGGGTTAACTTGCTTGTTCTTTTTTTGCAAGTACATGTAGCTTCCCTTTAATGTTTAAAAAGTCAGGGAAGTAATGCCTGGAAAAATTGTATCTTCTGATATTATTTTTTTCTTACTTAAACAACGTTAATATCACCACCAAGACTTTTGTGAAACTAATTCAAGGGAAATTTCAAAACCCTAGCTATTGCAATGCCCATTGAATTATGATGTTTGTAATACCAGGAGGGTGTTTCACAAAGATCCTAAGTAGAACTTAACCCTAAGTTGGACTTAAAAATTATGGACAGCCATTGGAGTCTTTAAATGAAATATATTCAAAAGCAGAAATTCAAGTATTTTAGACTTTTTATTAATTCCACATCCAGAACATGAAATCTCCTTGATGATAGAAAATATGAATGATTTCAATAAACAATGAATGCCTTTCAAAATAACTTTTACAAAATATTTTCAAAGATGCTAATGGCTTTCCATATTTTTTAAGTCCAACTTAGAGATAAGTTCAACTTATGATGTTTGTGAAACACCCCCCTGGTTTTGTAATGACTCCTTGTAAAGGTTGCCCGTTGCAAGAGGGGATGAACAAGTATAGTGAAATCATCTTGGGGTGATTTGTTATAAAGTCTTTGTGATCTTAAAATCACAACATGCTAATGTAAGATTGCCAGATGTAAAAAATAAAGTATATTTATTTTACTTAGATATTGACGAATGCTCCAGGAATTCATCGGCCTGTGATTCTGAAAATGGAGGGTGTCTGAACTCAGTCGGCTCTTACAACTGTTCATGCAATCCTGGATATGAATTAAGCAATGATGGCATTACTTGCAATGGTAAGGATGTAATGTCACATTAGTGTCACCTTTTAGTGACATCTTTAAATGTCTTTTGATCCTGAACGAATTACAAGTTGTACATGATTATAAATTCCAAAAGAATATAGAAAATGCAAATCCATTTCTGTTACAGACAGTACACTGTGCCATTGATAATAATGATTGAATCTGAAATAGACTTTCAAATTTTTTAAATAGCATTGTAGAGTAAAATTTATGATTTACTATTTTTGTGTACAAATTAGCAATTTCTTGTATATTTTTCATAGTTTTCAATCCATTTTTAAGTTTTTACTCTATGAAAGAGTAGAGATACAAATAATTGTTGCAGATTTAACCCTTACTGTACTGGGGGGGGGCCTGGGAGGCCCCCCCCTCGACATTTTCGAAGATTGCGCCGCAACCGCTCGGAATTTTGAATTGTCGTTTCATGACTTTTTTCCCTCAAGTCTTACGCACATTTTGATACCATTTTAGTAAAAATCGGATATACCTGTAAGGTGTTACATAACAATTAGTATGCGCATGTCATAAAAAAAGTGCTATAATTGCATATATTCATGTACAAGCAGAAATGTGAAGCTATGAATTGATATCAAATTGCTTTTATATGTTTCTCAAAGTAACTTGATGTATTTCAGAACAAAAGAATACATTAGAAATAAAACAATAGATATAATAAGAAATAAAAAACAATAAAATACATAAGAAAATAAATAGTTGAAAATCGCATCAAATTTGCATAAATTATCATTATTAATTACTTCAAATAACTTTTTTGTGATAGAAAAGAAGTTTCATTTGAATAATGAGTAACAACATTCAAAAAGTGAGTCTGACAATTTTTGTAAGGATTCTAGTTCCCGATATATATTTCCGGATTTGATATTCATGAATGCATATTCATAATTTATGCAAATTAACCTATTAATTTTCAAATATCATAAAAATAATGAAACCTCATGAATTTGAGATGAAGGAAACAATTATTCAATACATTTTCAAGATTCTTCACAATTCTACGGACAAATATGTAGAGTTTTCTGTAAAATGCATAAAATTAGCATTTTGCATAATTAATTAGGCTATAACGACAAAAATTTGCATATTAGCGAAAAACTAATTATACCATCTTGTTCCTTACATAAATATCTACAAACACGCAAATTTTCGCGTTCATCGGACATTCGGCGGCCGAGATCATAGGGGGGGGGGCCTCCCAGGCCCCCCCCCCAGTCAGAGAGTGCTCGAAATAGCCCAGTACAGTAAGGGTTAAGAGGAAAAGCTGAGTCATCTAGACTTTTCTTAGATACTGACGAATGCTCTGCAAGTCCATCTGTTTGTGATTCTGACAATGGAGTAATAATAATAATAATATGAATTTATAACGCGCACGTATCCGAAACTTCCGATCAAGGCGCGACAAATTAATATGCAGATTATACGAAACAGTTCAACAGATATTATTTCTACACGTAATTAAGGTTAAATCTTAGATAAACAGGAATTCAAATCTTATATAAATATAAATTTAAGTATTGGATAAACAGATATACAGTGCGTCCCAGAAAAAACGAAACCGAGAAGTATCAATGTTTTGTCATAATTTAATCAAAACCATAATTAATGAATGATACATATTTGGAAAGCTTAGAGTCTCCTCTTTCAGTTGATGCTACTCAGATGATGCATATTTCACGCATGAGTGATTAAAAGCAATTTCAAGGAAGGAAACCAAAAAGACATTTGGCGGGCGGTATCTGAATTTCGAAGAAAAATTCACATTTCTAGAAAGTTGAGTTTCTGCCCTTTCATATGACACCTCAATCAGGAAAAATGAGCGAGGAATAACAAAGTTCTGTTTGTTTACTTCCCTGCCTCAGTATTGTTGTCCACATATATATTAAAGTCTCAGACAAGCAAGACATTGTCATTTGAAGAAGCAACAGCATCTATGATGAAAATTGAGAATTCTTCAACAAACATATTGCGGGTCAATCCATTTCTAGTAGATGGCGGTGTATGAACTCGGCTGGCTCTTACAACTGTTCATGCAATCCTGGATATGAATTGGGCAATGATAACATTACTTGCAATGGTAAGGATGTAATGTCAAGTTAGTGTCACCGTTTAGTGACATCTTTAAAATTATGAGAGCCTATTAATGTCCGTTGTTTTTTCTTTAATCGTATTTCAGAAACTACACCTGGAACAACACCGGGAACTTCACCTGAGACAACATCGGGAACAACATCGGGAACTACACCAGGACCAACACCGGGAACTACACCGGGAACACCACCAGGAACAACACCGGATATGACACCGGGAACTACGCCGGATACAACACCTGAAATACCACCAGGAACAACACCGGATATGACACCAGGAACTACACCAGGTACAACACCGGATACAACACCTGAAACAACACAGGATATGACACCAGGAACAACACCGGATATGACACCAGGAACTACACCAGGTACAACACCGGATACAACACCTGAAACAACACCGGATATGACACCAGGAACAACACCGGATATGACACCAGGAACTACACCAGGTACAACACCGGATACAACACCTGAAACAACACCGGATATGACACCAGGAACTACACCAGGTACAACACCGGATATGACACCAGGAACTACACCAGGTACAACACCGGATACAACACCTGAAACAACACCAGGAACTACACCAGGTACAACAACGGAAACACCACCTGGAACTACACCAGGCACAACACCAGGTTAGGTGAAGTTTTGTTTGGGGTTTAATGCTAGACACCCTATTATATTTTCAAGGATTTGGGTTCTTTGAATGTCATCTGGTTATTGCCTCTGTAAAGCAGCCTTAAACATCAGTCAAACCTGATATATGTAATTTTTAATGTGAAACAGCAACTGATAACCACACAGAAATCTTGAATTAGGTGTTTAATTATATATTGACGCATTTAACATTTGATTTTCTCTCAGGAACAACACAGAAAACAAAGATTTTTACTTCAAATTAGTGCCATTGACAAACTTATCGTCAAAGAATTCCAGAACTATCCCGATCTCAAAATTATATATGTATGATCAGAATGCGCTGCAAATCGAAAAAAAGTTCATTACAAAAAACAAGATCTTAATTCCTGCACGGGAGCTAACAGCTGATTTATCACAAAAAGCTATCGTTTAAACATAAGATAATTGCATATTTTGCAAGGTAAAATATCATACAATCAGTTGGTACCACTTTTTACTCACAATTTTGAAGGCATCTTTTGTCAGTACTTTCATAAATTCACACCCAATGCTGTAGAAAATTTCGTATCTGGACAAATTTAGGTTGCTTTTTCCATTATCAGATTTTTGAGATAGCGAACTAAGGTCACACAAACTATTGTCACACCACCATACAGGAGTTTGAAAAGAAAGCATTATTCATGTTTTAGTAAAATCTTGAAACTACCGGTAGTTTAAAAACCCTTGGTACCCCAGAAGTTAGAGGGCGATTTGATGATTGGACTACTTACCATTTGTGTGAAATCATGGGACAAATATTAAGAAAATTATGAGTGTTTATGAGATCACTAAGTCTATGCAAACCTAAAATTGGCAATTTGGTTTGTGGATTGTGATGCCTTTATTCACTATTTACAATCAACTGCAAAGAGCTTTGTAATCTTTAGGGAAGGGGCTTCAATGTTGCTTCAAAAGCTAACTTACCTGTATTTTAGAAATATATTAATCGTGGAATATTATACCGCAAAAATTTAGTAATTGAAGCCAGTGACTGGGGAGATAATACAGGAAGTACCATGGTCGGTTAGGTCTGGGGTACATAGAGTACCGAAGCTGTGACGTCATAAAAATCTATTTTTAGAATTTCTCAATTTTTTCCTTCATTTTCCGAAAGAGCATCAAAAGTTGGTTAGGAGCCAGCATATAACACTGAGTTCCCATAGGACATATATTTATTCAGATGGTCATATCTCAGCCAATACTTAACATATTTGATTGGTTTTCGACATTTGGACATTATTTTTGATGCTGTTTCGGAAAATGAAGAAAAAATTGAAAAATTCTAAAAATAGATTTTTGATGATGTCACACTTCACCACTCTATATGGTAACAGGCCACTTGGCTACGATTTCGTTTCTGATGACTATGATTATTATTAATATTATTATTATTATTATTATTATTATTATTGTTATCATTATTTCTACTTAAATTGTTATATTTATTTTTTATTGTTATCATTATTTACTGATTTTTTCCTTCAATTTCAGATGTTGTGATTTTCATTGTCATCACCTTCCGTAACACATACACGAGCGATCTCGCAGACTCATCGTCTCTTGCGTTCATCAATTTGGCAAATGCTCTCTGCAACCGTGTAAGTTTTTACAACAGTATAACCTCTCAGTTTCAGTTTTTTTTTTTATTGTTTCAATTATATTTCACATACTTTTTATGAAAAGCAATGATTTCACAAATCAAATGGTCCAAATAAACGTGAATTTTATTTACAGAGTCCAAAAGCAGAAAGTGAGGACCTCATATCGATTTGTTTGAATGCAATGATTAAAAGATTGAACTAAAAAGAAGATTGAACTAGAATAAAAGCGTGAAATATTAAGTGGCATATGGAGAAAGCTTTGCCTGTGCGTTACAGTTAATTTCACGATAGGCTTTTTTTCTTTAAAGAGACGAGCAATCATAGAAATATAATTTGTATTCTAAAAAGTGGCAATGTGGTTGTAAACCAAATTGCAGCTCAACGCGCCAGCTTGGTGGCCTGGGTATTGAAACAGCACTATGCACCCAGGTTTTCCTCCCCGACCAAGCTAGCTCAAACTGGCTATTAATATTGATATAAAATATATGAAATTATTACGAACTAGAAATCGAACACTTAAACGTAAAACAAAACAAATGTGAGATATCGGTCATGCAAAACTTTAGTGACTATTGTATAGCTTTTGGGGTGTTTTTTTCCCTATACAGTTGATCGAGTATTTCCGGAGCCTGACGAATGGCGATATCGTATGCGCAGTATTACGGTTCAGAAGCGGCAGTGTACTGGCAGATGTTAACTTGACCTTCCCTGCTAACGACACCTCCCAGGCACAGAACATCATGAATAATGTCGGAAACGTTACCGCGGTCGATATAGGAAATATTGAAGTTGGCAATGAAATATACGTCCCAACCGCCGTCAACTCAAATGGTAAGATCGAATTATACCTTTTCATCACTTTATGGTGTTGGGAGAGTTACCCTTTCTATCCTGGGGGCTTTAGAAGCCCCCCCCCCCCTCTACATTTTTTAACGCTAAAGAATCTTGCGCTGAAATGTTATTGCTTTTTTTTTTGAGTCTTGCGCTTCCTTTGACACAATTCATTTGAAAATTGGACCTACCATTATAAAATCATGTGACCTTTTGTTTTTGCATGTCAGCCCAAAAATTGATAATTTTCGTGATTTGTGTACAAAACATATGGAAATATTATTTTTCCAAGAAAGAGATAAATCATTACCTGAAGTTTAAAGTTAAGGAAAGGTTTGTTTTTTTCGGGGGGGGGGGGGGGGGGGAGTCAAAATATTTGAATTATAGTTAAAAATGAAATAATATATGTAATGAAAACGAATTTTTTAGTATAAGGAATATATGATTTATGGATAAAAATGTGTACCGTAAATATGCAAATGAATGAATTTTTCAAAAAAAAATTGAAATTACCATGGTATTTTATACACTTCACTTGACATGCATGCACACATATGCATGCCGAGATCATAGGGTTCTAAAGCCCCCCCCCCCCCTCCCCCCAGGCTATGCAGTTTCAAATAAGTCAAAAAGGTTAAAAAAAAATAATAACGCAAGTGTATGCTTCAGTTCCTCTGTATCTATCTGATATTAAACACAGTGCTAAGTGAATGCAAGTAGGACCTATATTGTGCACAGTTGCCATTCATTTAATTACATGGTATTGAGAGACACTGCCACGGTTTACCTCTTCATATCTAAACGAACCTTTAAAGGCACACTGTCCTACTTGTATCTACTTGCACCCTCTATATAGGAAACTTTCCCAATCGGTGCCTGTTGGTCCCCCATGATCCTCTTTTTCTTATGTTAAATGAGAGCTGAGTTAATGAGATAGCCACCTGTCACAGTGACCTCGCTGGCTCGCTGGATGGTCTAATCCCTTCTAGCTGAAGTAGTAAAGCCTGCCTTTAACAGCCGGGGCATTGATTCACGAAACCCTCGTAATTAAGAACAATTTTGCCGACATCCCATTGAAATGCCTGTTGATATTTGGTACACATGTTACGTTTCAATGGGATTTCGTTGACCATGTACTTGTGACAATTTTAATGCCCAGTTTGAGCCAAAAATAGAAGAAGTAGTTATTATTATTATTATTATTTGTGTTGTTGTATTAAAGTATTTTTCACCTGTGTCAGGGAAGGAAAAAGGAAACTTTATATATATATGTATATAAGCTTATCTGAACCTCGATCGGCTTCTTAGGGGATGCTAAACATATTAAGTATTCTTCTCATTATTTCTCCTTTTTGTCTCTTTTTATTCAACAGCTCCAGAGCCTACTACAATGCAAACAGAGACAACAGGTAGGCACACTACATCTTTTTCTTTTTGCTTTCTTCTTCCTATTTTTCTTCTTTTTATTTTTCATATTCTTCTTTTTCTTCTTCTCCTTCTCATTTTTCTTTTTCTTCTCACTGTCCTTTCTCCTGTCCTACCTTTTCTTAATTTCACCCTCTCTTTTTCAATTCCTCTTTTTTTACTTTTTCTTCTTCTTCTATTTTCTTTTTTACATACATCTTTTCACTATTCTATGAGTCATGTTAGGGTTCATTCCATAGCAGTTGTATAGTAGTAGTAGTAGTAGCAATATTACTAGTACAACTGGTAGTAGTAGTAGTAGAAGAAGAATTAACAGAAGTAGTAATAGTAGCAGTAGGAGTAGTTGAGGTGGTTGTGGTAGAAAAGTGATAGTGAAAGGGTTTGAGATCATTGACGACAAAATAGTGCATCCGGAGTCAGAAGTTCTGAAGTAGAGTCTGTACTTTATTGTGCTCTCATCGTTAAAAAGCCTCTGTAACAATAATAACCAAAGTTGAACAAAATATTTAAATCGTGATGAACTTACATAAAGGAAAGCTTATACTCATCACAGTTGTAAGGATAATTTGTTCAAGTTAACACAATATACATGTACTGCAATTCCTTCATATCATGTAACAAAATGACAAAAGCATTTCAATGAAACATCATTATTTCCAAATACAGTGCAAGACATGATTCAATTAGACTGATATTACTTTCACCATCAAAACTCTCATTAGGTGGTCTGTCATTGATTTCGTCAGAATTTTCTTTTTTTATTATTTATTTTTATTTATTTCACCCCCACTTTTTTGTGCAAAGCATAATTCCATTGATCGGTCAATTCAACTTCTTTCAATTTTGGCACAGTTATTAGTCAATGACAGAAGATGTGTCTCCAACATGTTAAAGTTCATCAGGTCATCATGACGTCATCGAGGCGCCATTTTGTGAAATTTTGTGAAAACAAACTTATGATCATATCTTCATAACCGAAAGTCATTCCTCAATCATATTTATCACGATCAAGGTCAATATCCGCCCGGTCAATATCAGGTCAATGAACGAGTGCATACGCACACAAATTTAAAATGCTTTAAATTGTCTTAAATTAATTTTGCATACGTTTCAGGCCATTTTGAGCATTTTATACAAAACCGCACACACGCGCATGTGCGCGCGTTTTCATTCGTCATGTCCGCAATATACAATCGCCATTAGTTTTCTGTCATGTTATTTCCTATTTTTGTCCAAACAATTTGACACTAAGTTTATCTCTTAATGACCATTAATACAAAATCCATTATAGCTCTTTAGGATGCCCTTTGACCCCAAAGTTTCTTTTTATATTTGAATAGATTATGAATTGTAGATATGATTTCATGTCTCATTTGGCCTCTTAAGTATATTGTGACATCTATAATTGCCTTGGAAATTAAAATACGAAATCGCATATTATTACGTCACCATATTTAAGAAAAATGGATTGTAATTCTGTAAATATTGATAGATTTTCTTCCAAATTTTGATATGTTGTAGCTGTGACGATTCTTAAGATCAGCGTCCACTAGATTTAATAACAGACCACCTAATTCGTCCCGATGACGAATTAAATTTCTCGTTAGTAATGCTTATAGGTATATTGCATCATTCCAATAAGTAAAATGAAATACAATCTTAAAGGTAAAGACCAGTTATGGTCATGCGATTGCATTGAGAAAGAAACGTTGTGGAATCGATCAGAAAAGGTTGATCATCTAGCATCTAGCATCTGCAAGGTTCTGGAATCATCAAAATGATACGAAATTTGGCCCATTCTTTGTAAAGTTACAAGCACTATACACAGAAATATGTATATGGGACTACCCTATATCTCTCACAGACCATGAGAGAAACAAATTTACCAAATATATGAATTAGTAGGCGGTTTCCCGGCAAATTTTGTATCATCATGTATTAGTCAAAACATATTCTTTCACATGATTGGTAATGAGAGCTTCCATTTCATTTTTTGAAATTGGGGCGTTTCCAATACTGGTCTTTACCTTTAATTATTAAACAGACCACCTGAACTTAATTTAAACAAAGTCTGACCACATTTCCTCCTACGTACAGTAGGCCAAATGTCCATGTGGTTGCAGTCCTCATTACACAGCTTAGAATGGCTTGCCTGCCTGCCTGCTATAGCACTCACCAATGCTAGCACTAACACAAAAGAAATGCTCTCATGCAAAGATCGAGTTCATTGAGAATCCCTATAGGGGGTACTCCAATTGAGTAATAGAGATACCCCAAAAGGGAGGGAAACAAATCAATGGGAATCCCTATAGAGGGGGAAGCATTGACTGAAGAAACAGGGGGGGGGGATCTTTGCACCACATAATTCCTATTTAAATTACAACATAAATTCCAATTTACAACAATAGTAGTAGACTACAGTAGTAGTATAATAGTAGTAGCAGTAGCGTTAGTAATTGTTATCAATAACAAATTCTTCAGTTCTATGACAATTTTGCTCTCATTGGGATTTCAGAAGCTTATAACAATTATTGTATCCTATTATTGATAAAGCAGCATTTAGCGAAACTGTCACAAGTACAAATTCACGGACATCCTATTGAAACCTGTGTATTCAAATTTCTGCATGATTCAATCAAAAGTTGGCAAACTTGTAATTATGACAGCTTTTGTGAAATGCTGCTGTGTTTACTACTGTATTTTTAATTACCGGTATGTATGTTTCTCTTACAAACCCTTGGTTACCAACTATGCTATGCACAATTGCAGTGTTCTTAGTTGTGAATTGTCCGCCAAACTTGCAGGCAATCATTTCAGTCATAAAAGGAAACTTTTTTTTTTTAAATATGCATAATCATTACTTTAAAACAGGTCTATATATTCATATAAATTATAAAAGAGACATTTAAAAATAAATTTCCGAAATAATGTGAAATTAACATTAAAAAACTAACAAATTCATAAATTGAACTAAGAAATACACATAAAACGAACAACTCTTTACAATTAAATAGGCATAAATTCATCTCAAATTAACTTTTGAAACTGTATATTCCAATTAATTCAATTATTTATTTACCATGCACCTGATTCGTGAAAAAATAATTTTATTGTGTAGAAATCTGATCAAAATGCACTTTCATCTAAAAATTTAAATTTGAAACCATCCCATTTTATTTGTTTGTTTACTATGTAAATATGTAAAAGAACATTCCAAACGAAGTTTTATTGTTCAGAAATCTTATGAAAATGGCCGGACATCAATTCATCTCAAATTAAAATTTAAGACTAACAAATTCACAAATTCATCCATAACAAGCATTTAGAAGTGACCAATTCATCCAAAGATAATATTTCAAACTCACAATCCATCTAAAGATCAACATTAACACCAACTAGTTTTATTCATTTCTTTATCCCACGCTACAGAGCCAGGTGGATTGTCTAATGGAGCTATCATCGCTATCGTGCTTGGTGTGGTAGCAGGTCTTCTTATCCTAGTCGTCTGCTCGTGTGGTTTCTTGATACAGGCATCGCGGAGGAACGCAGCTAAGTTTGCTGTAGGGTAAGCCAATTACCACTGTGAATCCAGGGGGTGGGGGTCTGCAGGCACAGTAATGCTTAACCAGTTCTTAGAGCCTTGAGTAGAGCCTAGCTTCGTCAGTCTCTGACTCTGTCAAATACAATCCCGAGCAGCTAAAGTAAAGAGTCTATGTAGTATGACATCGACCTAGTCTGACAGTGCAGGCACAGTGATACTTTACCACAGTGCGTAGAGCCTTGAGTAGAGCCTAGCTCCGCCTGTCTCTGACTCTGTCAAATACAATCCGGAGCAGCTAAAGTACGAAGTCTATGCAGTATGCCGTCAGCCTAGTCTGACAGTACGGAGTCTATGCAGTATGACGTCGACCTAGTCTGACAGTGCAGACACTGTTACGCACAGCGAGTGACAAGGGATTGACTGTGCCTGCACACTTGGGGGTAGACTAGGGGAAATTTATAAAACATTTTATTTGTAAATAGCTTTCTTTTACAGAATGGCCAAAAATGACAAATCTAATATTATTTTTATCATCATCATTAAGATCATCTTTATTAGTATTAGTTTTATCTTTATTATTATTATTTTTATTCTCATTATTAGTATTAGTTTTATTACTATTATTACTATTTTTATTTTTTATTATCATTATTACCATTTTTAGCTCATCCGGCCCGAAGGGCCCGATGAGCTTATGCCATGCCGTGTCGTCCGTCGTCTGTCCTTCCGTCCGTCCATCCGTCCATCCGTCCGTTTACAGTTTCAAAATGCTTCTTCTTCGTTATTTTTCAACTGATTTTGATTCTGATTGTTTCATATGATAGGGCTAGGAGGGGGATTTAAAAATTCTATACAGAATCGTAAAATTCATTATCTATGCTAATTTATGCAAATTTATTCGAACTCACAAAAAAGCTTCTTCTCCTTCATTTCTCGACCGATTTTGATTTGGTTTGCTTTATCTGGTAGAGCTAACTTTGGTACACTAAACTCCTACACAGTATTTTGAAATTGTTCTCCATTAATTAATTATGGTAATTTATGCAAATTTATTCCAAAAATAACAAAAATTTCTTCTTCTCCCTCATTTCTTGACCGATTTTGATTTGGTTTGCCTTATCTGGTAGAGCTAAATTTGGAACACTAAATTTCTACACAGAATTTTGAGATTTTGCTCCATTGGTTAATTATGGTAATTTATGCAAATTTATTCCAAAAATAATTTTAAAATCATAAAAATGCTTCTTCTCCTTCATATTTCGACCGATTTTGATCTGGTTGCTTTATATTGTAGAGCTAACTTTGGTACACTAAACTTCTACACAGAATTTTCAAATTTTTATTTTTTGATTAGTTCAAAAGTGTACCACATGAAATTTACGATATTTGTTGTTGCGAGATGCGGATGAGCGCTACGTCATTGACGTTCTGGTTTTATCCTTTCACAGAGAGACTTATCAAAGTCCATACAGCAGGGAAACCCCTGCCCCTTCTTTTTACGGTGATGATCCATGGGAGGATTCTGGGAGCTATGATTCTCTCGATCGCCGTGAATATGCAGTTAGCCGAGCGGTAGAAAGACTCGCACATGACCGTGGACCCAGACAACATGTAAGTTACTTGGAAAAAACTTTACTAGAAAATTAAATTTAGAGGAAAATGGCAGGTGTTTTTTTTTCTTGTGGGTGACTTGGATAACATTTTACTAAATAATTAAATGTTTGGGTGGAAAGATTTTGAAAGCAGAAGGCTGACAAGTCATATGACTGTGGCCGTGAATGCCGATAACATGTAAGTCACTTTAGTCCTTATTAAGTAACCAACAAATATGATTATTAACGAATTTAGAAGATCTATGCTCTTTCCCCTAGTCTCTGACTCCTTCATTGCAAGTTGCTCTGACTCTTCTTATTTTTGTCCGTATACAAAATAGGGCTGCAAGAATATCAAGCTCCAGGCTTTACCCTGTTTATCTACTTTATATTTAGTATTGATTCAGAATGTTGACTTTATTTCACATGTTCAAATTATGTATACTGTACTAGAAAAATTGTATTCCAAATTTACCTTCATATACATGGAAACCTCTCTGAAAATTGATATAAAAACCAATGAATTCAAAAATGAATTCAAAAATGAATTCAAATCCTTGGATAAAATTATAAGCTAGAAAATTAAATGTTTTGGGGGAAATATGGTTAATATATCGTTCATTAAGCTGTAAATAGAATAGGCTAAAGATTTGTCTGTGATTGGCCGTTTCTAAGTTTTCATGTGATTTTCTTTTTTTCAGAATGGACAGTTTCAGAGACCGTACGTCGTGGGAGGAGATGAAAATGTGAGTATCTTAGAAACACCATTGACTTGTTACACATGTATCATCCTGTAGAGGCCAAATGCGTGTAAACTGTAACATGATCGCAAACATTTTTTTTTACAAAAATCATTTTTTTCAATAGCCTTATCTATCACCAAGTGAAGGGGAAGTCCACCCTGATAGTAAGTTGGTTTTAAAGCTTATCTGCCATAGTTTACAAGAGGGATTAGAGCGCCCTGCAAGGTCACTGGACAGGTGGTTATCTCATCAACTCAGCTCTCAGTTAACATAAGAAAAAGAGGATCATGGGGGACCAATGGTCACCGATTAGGCATTGTTTGTTGTAAGAGGGCGCAAGTACCTACAAGTAGTGCAGTGGGCCTTTAATAGAAGCAGAAAAACAAGAGAAATAGGTCAGTGAAAGTTTGAGCGAATTCCCATTCAAAGTAAGAAACTTATGTATGTTGAAGTTGCAATCAATCAAACACAAATTGTGAAGTGTCTTGCGAGCTCCCCTAGTATTTGCCCTGTACTAACAAATTAAAAGAATCTATATTATTCTAAATGTAATTATTGAAAATATGTTTTATAATTCATCCTTAGTATAAAACAGATCCATTCCGTAATGAAAGTGAAAGTTTCCAACATTTTCTGTACTTTAAAAATTGGAGAAAATATCGAGCCCCCAAGAAACGTCACAGTGTTACCAATTTATGTTTCTCTGATGTCAACTTCAAATCCATAACTTTCATAATTTTAATCAGATATTGCTCACATTTTCACTAATTTATATATCTCATTTTTCTGCTTTAATTACAAACGACTTAATATGAGGATGGACTCCCCCTGTAAATGTGCCAAAATTACAATAATGTATCCGAACATTACATCTTGGGGATAACAAAAGGGTATTGAAATTTGCCCTTGACTAGATTTTTTGGAAAGTCTTTGCGATCATGTTTAATAAAGGTTCAATGAGGCACAACGCAAAGCAATGCAAAGCAATGATTGGACAGCAGTACAGTCATAGGCTCATACCTATGTGGGACAACATAGACTATTGGCTGGTGCACTATTGAAAAATGAGCACCCAAATCAATAGAGGACTGAAGCTGTGACATCATAAAAATCTATTTGTGAAATGTCTTCATTTTTTCTCCATTTTTCGAAAGAGCATAAAAAATATGTTAAGTATTGGCTGAGATATGACCATCTGAATTACCAGATTTCCTATAGGAACTCATTGTTATTTTCCTCTGGTTCATAATGTTATGAACCAGAGCAAAATAACTCTGGATTTTTATAGAAAATCTATTTATTCAATTGGTCATATCTCAGCCAATACTTAACATATTCAATTGGTTTTCGACGTTTGGACATTATTTTTGATGCTCTTTCGGAAAATAAAGAAAAATTTGATAAATTCCAAAAATAGATTTTTGATGACGTTGCACTCTATGTTAAGCAGGTTTAACTTACTTTACATTAGCTAGATGATATCATTCAGGGACTTTTCAAATGTACTGTGCTGTAAATTTTTTTATTTTTTTATAGATGAAACGGTTGTCGAAGTTGTAACAAGCAATAATGAAAATGCCATAACAACTCACAATAGATCATTTTCGGCTGAATGCACTAATTTCTTGCACTGAAGTTATTGGGTTAGGTTATTTCAAAGATAAACTATCTGAGTTGCACTTTTAGTTTAAAAACACACTCATTAGTTGGAATTCAAATTTGCACATGAACTTGAATTACATGTACCTTGCATACATAAATCTTAAAATGTAATAAAAATGCTTAAAATCAATATAGTCCTGTAGAAGTTTTTCAGACCTGGAAAAGTTGTTAAGTACAAGGTTTTTTTGTTGAATTGTGTTCTAGATGGGTATTGAAGTAAATTCAGCTTGGTTGCCAGCTTGGCAACCTTGAGCAACTTTTTTTAATAGCCATATTAGCATAATCATCTAATTAGCATAGGTGCAATATGTATTAAGATTAGCAATATCATTACATACTGCACATATTATATGCTAATTAGATGATTATGCTAATTAGGCTAATTATACTCCATATACATGAAATATCTTCTCATGAAGTAATGATTAATCTTTCAAAAGTGTTTTACAATGTTGCATTGCACCATTTTTAGGCTTTATAGATAAACAATGACAATGAAGTCCATATATTGTACATATTACGCTAATTATGCTATTTAAGACAATTGTATTACTTAAAAATAAAATTTGGTGTCATAATTGAATTCCTTGTCATAGATAACCATTGAAAAGTGGTATTATCCATGTTTTCAGGCTTCCTGGATTGAGATTAACAACATTATTACATATTGCACCTATGCTAATTAGATGATTATGCTAATATGGCTATTAACAAAAAGTTGCTCAAGGTTGCCAAGCTGGCAACCAAGCTGAATTTACTTCAATACTCATCTAAAACACAAATCAACCAAAAAACCTTGTACTTATCAACTTTTCCAGATCATGTACATGGTATATGGTACTGTCTACTGGACTAATGGCAGAAATTACTTCGACTTCAAACTAACCTTTTAAATGGCTGTGTTTAAGTCTGAATTCATTTATGAGGAAATTTCCACTTGCACATTAGTTTGAGGCATAGAAGTAATCATGACACAAAATTGAAAAACCTTAAATGTGCTTAAACCATTTTTAAAATTTTTCTCCTTCTTGTTCTCTTTATCTTTTTTGTTCTTCTTTCTTTTCGTCTTTCTCCTTTTCTTCATCTTTTTCTCTTTCTTTTTTCTTCTCGTTCTTAAATATCTCTTCTCCTTCATGTCTAACAGCGCGGTGTTGAACGGAACCCTTTCTACTACTGAAGAAAAGTTTCAGATGCTGGATCAGGAAATCAATGATTTTTTTTTTTTTTTCAGAAGGCTCTTGGAAAGATTAAGAAATTGTTAATTAGCTGTATGTAGGAATATTCTATGGAAAAAATTGCCTCCTGAAACAAATTCCATTTAAAATGCCTAAATATTCAACCTTATTTTGACAAAAAGATTCTAAAGTTTTGAGGCATTTAAGCAAGATACTGAGGCAATCTGTTATCATTTCGATGATTCTAAAACCTAACAGAAAACACCAATTCTTATATGATAACTGCATAACTTTTTTTCCAATCGCTATCAAACACTTTCTTTCACAATCCAGTCACAAGACTAGAACCAAACTTTATCTTTAAGTAGCGTAATTTTGTTACTTGTATCGCTCATTTTGCATTTGCATTTTTTTTTTTAATCTGATCATCAAATCAGCTTCCACTGAATGATTTATTCTTCCATTTATTTCATATATATATATATATATATATATGTTACTATAATTGTATGTAAGGCAATGAAAACTTGCTTTCGGGGGAGACAGGGTTTCGTCTCTTTTTTAGCTTACACATTTATAATCGGATGAAAACTATGACGATGTCTAGTTATGTTATATATATAATCTGGCAGTACATGTTAGTAATTTAAGTACAGCTGTTTTTTTTAATAATAATAATAATAATAATATGGATATTTATAAAGTGCCGGTATCACTTTGAAAAAAGTAAGTAGTTACATAAGTCGTTGTTGTTCTTTATCTAGAAGTAGAGCTATTTTGTTATTTATAACACTTATTTTGCGTCATTTAACTTAAGCATTTTTTTTGGTAATCTGATTATCAAATCACCTTCCACTGAATAATTTATTTATTTATTTATTTCATAAAATATATGGATTTTGCTATGATATTATGTAAGGCAATGAATACTTGCTTTTGGGAGAGACAGGGTTTCGTCTATTTTACCTAACAAATTTATAATCAGATGAAAACTATGACGATGTCTATATATGTTATATAATCTATAATCATGTAGTACATGTATAATGTTAATGTACCAGGCTTACGGGTGTATTAGTAGTCTGTGCAGCTGTTTATTTTTAATCACTTTAAAAAGTAACTAGTTACCCAGTATTCTACAAATGAATGGTTTGGGAGTATAAAGATAACATATGTAGGACAACTTTAGAAAATGCCTTCGCACAGACCCTAAGAAGGACGTAAGTCGATGTTGTTCTTTATCTTGAAGTAGCGCCATTTTGATATTTGCATCACTCGTTTTGTGTTAGCATTTTTGTTGGTAAACTGCTTATCAAATCACCTTCAACTGAATAATTTATTCATTCATCTATTTCACATATATATATATATATATATATATATATATATATATTGCTATCATTATGTGTAAGGCAATGAATACTTGCTTTTGGGAGAGACAGGGTTTTGTCTTTTTTTTATTTAACATATTAATAATCGGATGAAAACTATGACGATGTCTAGTTATGTTATATATATTTATAATCTGGCAGTACATGTATCATATCAGATTCACTAGTAGTTGAAGTGCAGCTGTTTATTTTTAATCACTTTAAACAAAAAAAGTTGTTACCCAGTAGTCTATGATTGAATGTTTCAAGAATATAAAGATAAATATTATACAGGACAAAATGCCTTCGCACAGAACCTAAGAAGGACGAAAGTCGTCGCTGTTATTTTTTATTTTTGTTTGGCAACCAGTCTGCACTAATTATATTTGCCACAAATAGTCTTTTTAAATATAGGTGGATGGTTTATTTTTACCTGACTTCTAAGAAATCATGTGTATGCTTGTATTTATGACCAAAGAGCACCAGTGCATCGACTTCATATCGAACCCGGGACCTCCCGGTTTAATAAAGGACTATATTTTGCATCATACTTAAAATATGGTAACGTGTGGTTTGTGCTCTGATCGTGAGTTTTGTACTACGGAATGGTTGTCATGGTTATACAGACATTGATAATTTTTCACGATGTACGCAATGTATCAGGAAATCAATGATAAGACTTTAAAGGTACTATGTCCCTTTTGTAGCCAATATCAAATTCTGTAAAACTTTGCAGGAATTATGAATATGTCAGGTATGTCCTGTCTTTGAAATTTCAACGTTAAGCAGTGTCCTATACAGTATTTAAATTATGCAAGGAAACCCGTTTACTTTCTAGACTTCACTGTCGGACACTATTGAGTGACTGATTGACTTCTTTTTTTTCTTTGGTAATAATTAGAGCTTTCATATTTCTCCACGTTCTCTTTAAGTGTCATTGTTTTACACCGAATAGATCAGGAGCAGACTAACCTGGTCTAAATACACTCATTTAGCATCAGGATGCACGTGTTTGAGTTAATAGTGTAAAAGTGATCCACAGTAATATTGGTGTGGGTAACTGCGTGTATGTGTGTGTAATTATACAACTTATTATGATTTACAAAATGCTAATTTTGGGTGGTACCAAATCAGTCACTATTTTTCTCAAAGCTCTTTCTACACTGTCCCATCGATGTTATACAAAGTCATGAATTATCATGGTTAACAGACAAAAAGCAATCCATTCAATCTTCCCATTCGGCTTTATTTCATTCATGATTATTCTTGGTGACGTCACTACTTTTTTGTATTTACATCGTTTCAAATAAACCCTTTTACCAAGAATAGGCTTGCAATTAAATTACTTTTCGATTTGAATCCTCGCGATAATTCAAACAAAGGTGCCATATACGCTTACGTTAACTACCCTATACATTAAAGCGAACCCTTAGCTTGGAACTTAAGTGCCAATTCTGAATAAAACTGATTGCGCATTATAAACAGTTATTAACCATGTAAACATGCAAGTTGTTACAGCTAGTTAATGGTTAGAATCTGTCATGAAGACTTGAAGAGAAATATTTCAGTGAAGAGAGAAGAAAAGAAATTGGGGGAAAGGGCGGTTTAATTGATTCAAAGGTGTGACAGTTCGGACAAGCGTATCAAATTATTATTATTTACAGCTATGAAGATTTATTCGAGAGAGGAAAGAAATCGCTACAGAGAAAAGTTTATCATTGAATTCAGCCACTACCGAATAAGAGAGAGAGAGACACAGAGAGAGAGAGAGAGAGAGAGAGAGAGAGAGAGAGAGAGAGAGAGAGAGAGACAGACAGAGAAAGAGAGAGAGAGACAGAGAGAGAGATGGTACTGAGAGTGGGTGTAATGGAGAGAGAGAAAACGAAGAGAATTGGGAGAGAAAAATGGAGAGGGGGTATGGGGAGGTGGGGAGATTTAAAAAAGAATGAGAGAGGGGATATAAAGGAGACGAGAAGAGAGAGATAGAGACAGAAATTAGAGAGAAGAAGGAAGAGAGAGAGACAGGTGGGAAGGGAAAGGGAGGGGATGGGATAGAGATACATAGAATGTTGAGATGAAAAAGAGTTTACCGGCTATAAATCCTTCCGTCACCAAACATTTTACCTTCTACGAAATGAGAACAGATAAAAAATATGCCAATCAAAACGTCAGACTCAAACTACAGGCGAGATAAACATGACAATAATTGTGTGAAAGCATACAGAACAAAAGATAGAGTAGTCGGTTTAAGTGGTGACAGATATAGGAAAATGAAAATGGGAAGAAATAATTAGGTTGCAAATCATTAACTATTCGAGATAGCTAGGTGCATGTTTACACCACAGCAAATATCAAGCAAGTTTCTCGTCATTAATTCTTTGCTTTGACCCCCCCCCCCCCACACTCAGTGTTATTTAGGGTACGCATATGCAGGTTCCCTCTTTTTGAAAACACCCCTATTAAAGTCCGGTGTGTAAAGTCAATACGGGCCGGATTTTTGTGTACTGCTACGAGCCGGACTTTGGTGCGTGAAAAGTACCCCTTTACCGGACATTTTGGTAACACGCATGGTATCCCTCCGTTCACGGAGTGGGTGGGGGGCTTTGACCTATTGCCGAAACGGAACAATACAAAATAATATCACTGGGTACTGAATGGTGCCAAATGGAGGAGGACCGTATTTTAGCGTAAGTCCTCTCGGTACCGGTTCTCGTAGCGGCTGACTAAAATAAAGCAGGACAAATCCAAAAGAGAGACGGCTCCGGCGCGCGCACCGGCCGGCCGGAATGAACTTTAAGCCAATCGCGTTGCTACAAATTTGACCAATCACAAGAAGCTTTTCGTATACGATTTGTATAATTCTGTTGTACCCGCTGTTAGTAATGACGAAGAACTCATCAAGGGGGAACCAAACAATTTATCGCCCTCCGCGGTGAAACTTTGCAAAATTACATAATCTACCGATTGATCAACGGTTCTAGCCCCAAAACGCAAGTTGGCCATATTATAGTGAACTTTCTAAAGCTGGTCTAGCTAATTGAAGTCAATCAAAGATCAAAACAACTTCGTTCATCTCAAACCTCCTTATTAGTTGTCCCTTAGACGCGCAGTTCTTGGGGGATAGAGCCTTTTCTAATTCTGGTCCGTCCCTTTGGAATAGACCAGTTCACGGTTAGCACATCACTGCAATGACCCCGAATATCCACAGATCTTCAAAACATGAAGACGTCCCACTTTGTACATTTTGAAATAATCACTCCTACAGCGATATATAGATAACCTTTGTTTCCCCTTTTCAAAGAATACTTCCACCTGTGTATCATGGAGTTCATTGAATGTGCATGAATGAATAATGATCACATAACTTTCATGAGCACGCATCCAGTATAACGTCTCAGTGTATTTCAAAATTTGTTCTGCAATGACCTTTATCTGCTCATGCTCAGACTGCAACCGTGAACTGGCTTATAAGCTGCCACTTAGTAATAATAATAATAATAATAATAATAATAATAATAATAATAATATTTATATAGCGCCGGTATCCGCCAGGCTCTGACGCTCATGGCATTGTACATATTACAATCACAAACATATCAATTTCTTAACTAAAATAGAGTAAACTTAAACAACACAAATTATCACGCTACATCGAAATAATTAAATAGTGTAAGACTTTAAATTAGACTAATTCCCTACTTGTATTTGTCACAATTACTATTTGTTTCTCTAGTCTCTTCTACCCCATACATATTCATTTCACCCAGGGGCGGCCGAGCGACTTTCAAAGTGGGGGGGGGGGGGGGCACCAACAAAAAAGGGCACTTTCTGGATAAAAGGGCACCTACAGTGGGAAATCTCAAAGCGAAAATATACAATTTTTAGACATTGGTATATACCCCTACATTGTGATTACATTATCAGGGATGATTTCAATATTTGTTTCTCTTCATACATCATACAAGATATCGCTTAAGCATCAAACTTTACAGTTGGGTGTGATGTCTGAATATGCATTTACGAGTGAGCGAAGCGAGCGAGAAAATTTTTAAAGATCTGTGAGGTCGCAGTGCGAAAAATTACATCTTATAAAGAGGAAAAAAAGCCAATCGTGATGGGGTTATAAGCACATTCTCATAACGGAAGACTGAAAAGACCTTTGATAAGTAACATAATTATATAATCTTTAAATGCGAGCGAGCGCAGCGAGCGAACTTTGGGGGAAACTGCTCTTAGTCGCTTTAAATAAGGGGCACGTTTAATGATTACATGAAAAGGGGAAATTATCGAAAGGGATAAGACACTTATTAGAAAAGAAAAGGAGCACGTGTATAAGTACAAAGGATAATTATAAGAGGTGAAAATGAGGCATTTTTTCACTTGAAAAGAGGCACTCACCAGTGATGAAAAGGAGGCGTTTACGAAAATGGGAAATAGGCATTTGTTGACGGAAAAGGGGCACCCATCAGATTTAAATAGGGTCATTTATAAGAGGTGAAAAGGGGATAGGTCCCTTATTAGAAAGGAAAAGGGGCACGTATCATTATTAAAAGGGGAATTATCAGAGTTGCAAAGGGGCACTGACCAGATATGAAAAGGGGCACTTATGAAAATGTAAAAGGGGCACTTATAATAAAGAAAAATGTGCATTTGTTGAATGAAAAGGGGGCACCGTTCAGATGTTTAAAAGGGGCAGTTATGAGAAGGGGAAGGGGAAGGAGCTCTCTCTTTTTAATGGGGGCACTTATCATAAGGAAAAGGGGCACTTATTAGAAAGGGAAAGGGGAAGTTATGAGAAGGGGAAGGAGCTCTCTCTTTTTAATGGGGGCACTTATCATAAGGAAAAGGGGCACTTATTAGAAAATAAGAGGGGCACATGTTAAAATGAAAGGTGCGCTCATCCGAGTTTAAAGAAGGGGTAGTTATTAAAAGGAGAAAGAGCACCTCTCAGTTTTGAATAGGGCAATCATCAGAGGTGAAGGGGGCACTTATTAAAAGTGAAAAGGGGCACTTATCGTACCTGAAAAGAGGCACTTACTAGAGATTAAAAAGGGCACTTATTCAAGATAATTTCAAGATTCATGAGAATGGAAAATGAACATTTATTGCAAAGGAAAATGGGAACATGTCGAAGGAAAAGGGGCACGTGTCAAAATAAAAGGGCACTCGTCAGAGGTGAAAAGGGGAAAGGGGCACTTTTACTAAGTAATAGGGGTACTTGTCAAAGTAAAAGGGGCACCTTTCCTATGTAAAAGGGCCACTTCTTACAAAATAAAAGGGGCACTTTTCCTATGTAAAAAGGGGCATTTTGGGGGTATCTGAAAAAGTGGGGGGGGGGGCACTCTGATTTCACCTCATTTGCATATTCATTTCTACCATTCATCTCCACCATATACTAACTCTTAAAGCTAGAACAGGTGGTACGTTCTCTTCTCATTTGCATATTTCCACTTCTTACTAATATCATTGGTTCTCTTCTCCTTCTTCTTCTCCATATTCAGTTTTATATTTAAATCCTATTTTGCTATTGGTTGATGATGTATTTGATTTGAATATTCTTTGCATGAAGCACATGAACAGCATGCTAGATACTTTGCAATAAAAGACATGCAGACCTGCACGAGACTTACTCTGAGTGAGTTGTATTAATTTAGAGCTCGATTATATAAGTTAGAGACTTAGGAGAGAGAATCTAAGTGAGTTTAGCAGTGGTTTGCATGATTGGTGTTATGATTGATTGGCAAGAGGTTAATTATTTTATTAGTTTACAATAGCACTGTTTAGGAAGAGATGGGTTTTTAGGGCAACTTTGAAGTCACGGAGGGCAGTTAAGTTACGAATGGATGTTGGGGGCGGGGGGGGGGGGGGGGTAGCTGGCTCTCGTCAGCGTAGCCTGCGGCCGGTAGCTTTAGCCACAAAGCCATGTTCATTTTTATAACTGGATTAAAGAGCCTCTTATTGCCAGGTTTACAACGTTTATTATTTTAACAGCCCCAGTCTATTCTTTCTATTGTCCTCCCAGACAAGGACAAAGAGCCTCTTCAGTAGGTTTAGGGACAACCAATGTCGAGAACAAACCTTAACGAATAGCGCATAATTATAACGTGTTCAGTATATAGGGGGGGGGGGGGGGGTAATACATTCGCCGGCAATTCCCATTTGCTTTAAATGAGCTGAAACTCACATGAAATGTAGATTATTATATACCTCATCGAATGCGGGGTGCACAAATAGTAGCAGCCGACATTAAAAAGGTCTAATTTGAGCGAATATCAACCAATGTCGAGAACAAACCTTAACGAATTGCGCATATATAACGTGTTGAGTATATAGAAGGGGGGGGGGGGGGCGAATATCAACCAATGTCGAGAACAAACCTTAACGAATTGCGCATATAACGTGTAGAGTATATAGAAGGGGGGGGGGGGAATACATTCGCCGTCAATTCCCATTTGCTTTAAATGAGCTGAAACTCACATGAAATGTAGATTATTATATACCTCATCGAATGCGGGGTGCACAAATAGTAGCAGCCGACATTAAAAAGGTCTAATTTGAGCGAATATCAACCAATATCGAGAACAAACCTTAACGAATCGCGCATATAACGTGTTGAGTATATAGAAGGGGGGGGGGGGGGGGGGAATACATTCGCCGTCAATTCCCATTTGCTTTAAATGAGCTGAAACTCACATGAAATGTAGATTATTATATACCTCATCGAATGCGGGGTGCACAAATAGTAGCAGCCGACATTAAAAAGGTCTAATTTGAGCGAATATCAACCAATGTCGAGAACAAACCTTAACGAATTGCGCATATAACGTGTTGAGTATATAGAGGGGGGGGGGGGGGGGGGGGGGGGGGGGGATACATTCGCCGTCAATTCCCATTTGCTTTAAATGAGCTGAAACTCACATGAAATGTAGATTATTATATACCTCATCGAATACGGGGTGCACAAATTGTAGGAGCCGACATTAAAAAGGTCTAATTTGAGCGAATATCAACCAATGTCGAGAACAAACCTTAACGAATTGCGCATATAACGTGTTGAGTATATAGAAGGGGGGGGGGGATACATTCGCCGTCAATTCCCATTTGCTTTAAATGAGCTGAAACTCACATGAAATGTAGATTATTATATACCTCATCGAATACGGGGTGCACAAATTGTAGGAGCCGACATTAAAAAGGTCTAATTTGAGCGAATATCAACCAATGTCGAGAACAAACCTTAACGAATAGCGCATATAATGTGTTCAGTATATAGGGGAGGGGGGGGGGGGGGGGTTATACATTCGCCGTCAATTCCCATTTGCTTTAAATGAGCTGAAACTCACATGAAATGTAGATTATTATATACCTCATCGAATGCGGGGTGCACAATAGTAGCAGCCGACATTAAAAAGGTCTAATTTGAGCGACTGATATCAACCAATGTCGAGAACAAACCTTTACAAAGAGCGCATACTTAGGTGTGCATATGTGTGTGTGTATGTGTGTGTTTAGGAGGGGGATGACCCTCCAATAAAATATGAATTTTAATTTTAATTATAGACATAATTATAATGATAATAATAAGCAGAAGGGTAATATATTTATAATTTTTGTTAATTTGGACCTTTCTTATGCTTTTTTCTCACTTTGATGTTGTGATAATTTGAATAGTTTTGATTTAATGGTTTAAAATAATCATTTTATCCATCTTAATTCTCAAAATAACAAATTGTTATCTCTTTAAATTTAAGGAGAAAAACAACGACTAGACCAAAGACTACTCCTGTCCGTGTCTCCTTGCAGAGACTACGGTTAGCAGCTAAACGGAGTGCGTTCATATTTTGTTCAACACATCACATGCACAGCGTGTACTATGTTTACGCTATATCCACACACACTATATTCGCGCATTGGCCGTGGACGGGATAGTGCCTATTTTCTGAGGTAAGTGTTCGAAAACCTTTGAATAACTTAAGTATTAAATAGCACATGAGCTAGCTAGGCCCTCTTTATTGATGTTATGTTTGTCAGTTATTTATTTACCAGGTATGAGGTTAAAATTATCTGTGCAAGGTGGCTAAAACAATGCCTAATTTACTAGACACGCCTTTCTTCATTCATTGATTCGATACACATGCTATACATCATGACATGGCAGCTGCAGCAGAAAGCACTGCACTTTCGGTAGTAGAGAGCGAAGCAGCTGCTGGCCCTATGGCGTCCGCCCCACGCTCAAGCTCCCGCGCCCTCTTCTCGAGCTCCGCACTAGAGGCGCTGGCTAGGCCGGGGCGGCGGCCCGGCGCGTTTCCGTTTTACACCCTGCCCTAGGCTTTTCTCCAATAAAATTTACAAACCGACTGGTATTCGGAGTCTAGTCGTCCACATCTTGCCTCGGCGCTCTGCACACCACCAGAACTCTGAAAACGTCACGTAGCGCTAGCTAACTCTCTATAGTATACTAGTTGATCTTCCTAGTCGTATCATTTATTTTTATCCATTAATACGCAATACTCTAAGAGCGTGAGGATGCGTGATCAGCTCGCAAAATTTAGCCCAGCGATAACAAAACAATAATATATCGGGGAAAACCGTCTTGAACAAGAAGACCCTCGCATCCCCAATTGAAATTGTACATAAGCTTTGGCTTCGCTATTCTTGACGTCGATATAAACAAACTTAGACTTCGGATACAGCATGTTTCGTGTAATTTCTTGCCGAAAAGCCTAGGGCAGGGTGTAAAACGGAAACGCGCGGGCCGGGCCATGGCCTCGCCTGGGGGACCTGCATGCACTAAATGACTGACAAAGAAAGCGGACAAAATAACCAGTTCCTCAGGTAGATAAAGGAACATCCCTTCACTGCTATTATGTAAAGATGTGTAGAACAGGTGTCACTTGCATATTCACCGTGTTACATAATAGCAGTGAAGGGATGTTCCTTTGTCTACCTGAGGAACTTTATATTTTGTCCGCTTTCTTTGTCCATCATATTCATAGTGATGATGACCCAGAGGGGACACTCCCAACATGGCTGGCTACAAACCCGCATCCAGAAAAAGCGTTGAAAGGGTGTCTTTAGTTTTTCAGCTATATAGTGGCGTCAACATTTTCCTAAAAAAGGGGTATTCTTCAAGCACTTATCGCACAAAAACTAAAAAAGTGTACCTTTTTAGATTCACAAATCACAGATTCGGCCTCATCAACGTTTTCCTAAAAAAAGGGGGTGTATTTCAAGCAGTGATCGCACAAAAACCCCCATAAACATGATACAGGGTACCTTTTCAGGTTCACAGGTTTCAACTTTTTCTTAAAAAAAGGGTCATTTCAGAAAAGGTGCGTGACGCGGGTCCATTTCAGAGGTTGATGGACAGGGGTGGGTAGCATTTGTGTATGAGATTAACCCTCTAGTGTCTAGGCCTGATGACTTCTAAATGTTAGTAAATTTCGATGGAATAACAAAGTAGTTAAACAGCCGCTTGTGTACTTTTGTATCCATTTTTTACCCGTTACTCCGGCGTGGCCGTGGAGAGGCTAGCTAGCTAGACTAGACCAAAAATTTCTGTCTCAGAGTTCAATTTGACGAAGAAAAAGCGGAAAAAAAGATCCTTCAACGCATCATACAGTCAATCTGGTATTAAAGTGGAACCGATATTATTGAGAATAAATGCATCGGATATGAATCTGCTAAATTGACATTTTAGTCCAAAGTTTGGTGGCACGATCTCTCTCGAAGCAGTTCCCCAAAGTTGACAGCCCTGTATTGGTATATTGAGTTGAAAAAACGGTCTGCGCAATCTTAAAATTTCAGACCCCCCTATTGTAAAATCCTGGATCTGCCGCTGGTCCCATACTGTACATCTTTCTGTCAACAGTGTTTGTTACTTTTACCAAGACTGGGTCAAATTCTTATCATTTTTTGATGATTCCAGGACCTTGCAGACTTGCAGTACACCCAAATACTTAAATTCTACATGATACAACTTTTTTTGATCGATTCCACACGACTAGAACTCAACTTTATCTTTAATAATAATAATAATAATATGGATATTTATATAGCCTTTTAATTAAACTTACAAGTGCCGTAAGTATTGTAATCCTGTACTAAAAGAAAGAGACATTTTCCTTTCTGATTTCATAATTCCCTCTCTTTTAGACCGTATGTTTGGCTGTTTGCTATGATGTAATTTCACAGTTTAACCAATGATGATAGTAGTCTATTCATCCTAACTTGAATATCGTTGGGCTCAGGGGAGACAATACTTGTTATTTGACTTTTTAAAAGTTTTTTTGCCTTGTCATATTTTTTTAGAGTTAAAATGTGATCCCAAAACACAAAATATGGCACCTTTTTATCAAAGCATCCCCCATATAACTTTTCTGTTCTTACCCATTTACATGTATTAGATCATCTGCTTGTAATAATCTTTCAAAAAAGTGAATTGTGAAATAATTATTGCAAAAATAAAAGATTATTTGCTTGTCTGAATTTTGGGGTTAAAAAGACACCCCTTTTGTGTTTATCAGAGAATTTCAAACTTGTGACACTGTCCTTCCCCCCCCCCCCCCCCTCCTCCACCATCTTACCAGGCAATCATGGATTTGCAATAAGCAGGCGTACAGCTAGTAACTTGGAACCCTTGGCATCCCCTCTGCAAATATGGCTCCGAGGGTATTGAGACATTGCCCCCTCTCCCCAAAAAAAGAAAGCAAGAATTTCTTGTATGACTGTTCATTGATTGATGAATTATGTTTCATACTCTGGCTATTGTTGTCTTGGATTAAGGCAATTTGAGGGTTTAAAACATTGATTTTGTGTTTTTCAGGGTTGCTACACACTGTAATACAGTCAAACCTGCTTTAGTGACCACCTATCTACAAAGACCACATTTTTTGTTCCCCTTGAAAAATGGTTTCATTGAAACATGTACTAAAGGAACCTGTACTTAAAGACCACTTTTCTTGTCCCCCTTGGGTGGTCATTCTAGATAGGTTTCACTGTATTATAATTTTTATTTTTTATAAAAATATGCATTTTTAAAATGATGCCTTTTATTTTGATGTCCCAAACATTATGCTGATGCACAAAGTCTCTTTTCCATAATATCAAAAGAAAGGGGTCCAGCCAGATACATCTAACTATAATACTGCCTTCATTAGATAGTTTGACAATTGTTTTAAACAGTCTTTCTAAGTTGTGTCAGAGGATCATGATTTCCCTCAAGACCAGTGCTTTAGGTCTCTTTTTATTGGGGTGCCTGAGTGCAGTCCCTCATATAGCAGCAATGTACAGTAGTACTTCATACCACAATGACTGTAGTGACTGTACCACGTATTCCCTGTCGAAATATGGCCAAGACCATGTCAGATAATCTAAGTTTGTCTGATGATGTGAGTGGATACGACAGCCCCCAGAGCCCTCAGGAAATGGAGTTGATGATCATAGGGGGAAACCTGACCGTGAAATGACTGCCGACCTGAGATGACTAACGATGTGAGAATACACCTAGTTCTTATCCTCTGCCTATACTCCTATTCCATTGGTTTTAAGATCAGAGGCTCATTGAAGTTCCACCTGTTTGCAGAACCACACTGGACTATTTCTGTGTTCTAATTTGAGCAGGACAGTGGCTTTGCGCATACTACATGTTGCTTACGTGTAGGCTACTGCTTTTGAGCAAGTTCTGTCTGGTGTAGTGGATGAGTTTGACACTGTTGGTCTGTAATTAAGGAAAGGAATTTGCTATTTGCCTATTCCTCAGGAGATACAATTTGGATTATCTTTTGTTGCTGGACAACGACATTACTTGCTCTTATTATAGGAATTGTTATATCCTTATGAATTTAAGTGTTCACTTTCTGTTTCTTTTGTTTGTTTAAACCATGCCATGCCTCTTACCCGCTCGCCTGTTCTGCCAGTGGGTCTTTCCAAGGATGTTAGATACACAATGGATCAGCTACAAAAGCCTGCACCACTGAGCCCTGAGGATACGCCAAAGACCACACCTTCATTGTCTTCCAAGCCCCATGGTGCCGGTCGGGAGGAGAACGTGAAACCCCCCATTCCTCCTGCAAGGGCGCCAAAGGCCACACCCGCCGTTTCCAAGCTGCCTGAGTTACCCGCTGTGATCGTGGACCCAGAGTCGGGGGAGAGGTACCGCAGAGGAAGGCTACTAGGAAAGGTAAGAAACATTGCATGATAGGTGGGGGGGGGGGGGGCTGGGGGTATAAGAGGAGGAATGTTGACAAGACATCTTCACAGGAGTTAAGATTTGAAGAAAAAAATGATGAGAAATAAGCATTATGACAAATCAATATTTTGGGCTTTAATGTGTTGACAATTTCTGATTTCTGTATCATCTCCATGCCGTTATTCATTGAAATCAAGAATTAAAAAAATAAAAAATAAATCATTTTGAAGCATATATGTACATGTTTTTAAACAATGGCCAACAATAAGAAAATGGTACACTTGATTCAATCTAGAATGCCAAGTGTTCAAGGAAGCAAATACAGTATACTGTAATGCTTGCTGTAGGAGGGGAATTCTCCCCATGTTCATGTACATGTGAGGAGTGCCCCCATTAATTGATGCCTGTTCCTTTGTGTCACTTCAACAAGGAAAGACTAGTCCTCCATCAGGAAGTATGTGTAACTTGACAAAATATCTGAATGGTCATTTGCTCTCCGTTTTGTGCCAATTAATCAGGACGTTGTATTGTGTAATGTGTATCTTTGGCTCAAATGCCAATTTGGCTACTTTTACATTTTTAAGAATTTCATTTAGTTTGTTTCTTGATCCTGTGAAGATATAAGCATGTCCGTAGAACTAATATCCCTATATAATACTTGAGAACACTGAAGGTTTTAGTGTACACTTATTGTGCACACATTACAATTTAAAGTGCCATTGTTAAATCATTAAAATATACACAGAGTGAGCGACACTGTTTTCAAAACTGTTGTCATGACTACTGTATATTGCTGGGTAGAACACCAGGCCAACACTACAAGTGTACATGCATAATGCTTGAGTCAACTATGTCAACAGTTTCAGATTTGCCGTCTTGAAAATACGATCACTCATTAACCCTTGTATGTAATTTTCATTGAATGCTTCAGTCTATAAACTTATATTAATAACCTTTCTAAAGCCTGGATAGTTGAAGTTAAATGTATACTTTCGATGTTAATTTATCTCCTCATAATTGGTTTAACACTGGAATGAACAACACCTTTGGTCTCCCTTTTCATTTGAGTGATTGGGAGAGAGGGAGGAAGTGATGAATGGAGGAGGAGGGAGAGAGAGAGAAAGAGAGAGACAGAGAGAGATAGATAGAGAGAGAGAGAGAGAGAGAGAGAGAGAGAGAGAAGAGGACAGATAGATGGGAAAGCAGACAGAAAGACAGGCAGAAAAAGCAGAGACAGAGAAAGAAAGAGATTGAGAAAGAGAGTGTGAGAGAGAAGAGACAAAGACAGAGAGCAGACAGGTATACATGTAATACAGGAATGGTGGGGGGGGGGGGGGGGGGGGGTAACAGGTTAGCAGACAAGGATGAGTGGGGGAGATAATTTAGGGGATAGGGCTTGTGAGGTAAGCCTGAACGAAGAAAATCATTACCCCTACCCCTACCTTGCCCCCACCCCTGAAGAAATTGGCGTAAATGAGGGTGTCACGGTAGCTAGGGTGCGATGCTATTAGTCAATTTCCTGTTATTTGACTTGAAGTGAGGGCTCCCGTCCCTGTTTCATGTTATCAGGGGCTTTGTGTCGATGTTGCTGTCAGCACGCCGACGATGTCACGATTTCAGCTCCTGAACAACGATAGCAAGCTTGGTACATGAGTGACACAATCAGGCTTCAAACTGGGGGATTGCAATCCTACTTCAAAGTTACGCATTTTCGATCAAATGTGGTATCCATCGTTCATTTATTTTTTAATAAATATAAGCAGTGTACTGGTATTTCAAACCCATTCATGAAGCGATGGATTTCAACCATAAGCAGTTTAATACAATTGAAAGCTATTGAAATTAAGGTTGAAATAAAAGAAATAGAAAGGAGAGAACTTCAGAGAAGAGTGTATACCTGGTAGGGGAATGAGTAGAGGTGATGTAGAAAGACAGTTACATGAAGGAAAAGAAGAGGAAGAGGGAAAAGAAAAGGGAGATGGTGAAGGAGGAGAAGAGGAGAAAGAAAGGGAGGAGGAAGGAAAAAAGAGAAGGAGAGGAGGAGGAAGAAAAAGAAGAGGATGAAGAAGAAACCAAGAAGAAGAAACCAAGAAGAAGAAGAAAAGAAGGAGGAGGAGGAGGAGGAAAAAGAAAAGAAGAACATGTAGAAGAAGGAAGAGGGAGAGGGAGTAAAATTTGTAAAGAAAAGTAAAAGGGCAAGAAAAGTGAAAATCATATAGAAAAATACATTTTAGGCTTAAAAAGGAATTTTTATTGATCGATTGTGAGAGAGAAAGATTTAGAGATGGATGGAGGAAGAGAAGAACAAATAAAGCCTGTTCCAGCTTTGTGATGAAAACATTACAAGAGGCAGTATCCCTGTTTGTATTATTTGTTTAGAGGTTTATAACTCTGTGTTTAGGAATGCCATTCTATTGATCTCATACAGTTATATTTAATGAGTAAGCTCACATAAACTCCCATCAAAGAAGATTAAATCTCATAAAAAGCTCACTTGGTTGTCAACCTGACATTTATAGACTTTATCCCTTTCCAGCTACAGTGCGGTCACCCCCAAGCTTTCAGCTTAACAATGGTATTATCAGTGATGTCACAAAACATGGTGGATATACATCAGATTATGTCAGATCATTGGCTGATAAGGCCTGTCATTATCGGCTCGAGATTGCCAAATAGCTGGCTATTTCTGATTTGGGAAATAATTGTGAAGTTCCAAATCGCGTCTTCATCACCTCGAAACTTCAAGTCGAGCTTGTGAAATTAGTTCGAGATATTTTGCTCAGTGTTCGCGCATAGAACGTGTCTTCAGGCTGGTAAGGACGCACCAAACAAATAGCAGGATATTTTGCAAACTAGCCCAAGATATCTTGGGATGATTATCTTGACCAAATATACCGCTAATTGCAACTTCGGGCTGATGAAGACGCAAATTAACTGGATAATTTGCAATTGGGATAGTTCAAATAGCTGGATATTTGGCAATCTCCAGCTGATGAAAACAGGCCTATTGAGAATGAGCTGGAGGGGTAAAGCTTATTGGATTGTATGCAGCAAGTTTTTGTGTGTACACATGTAGATGACCACTCACCCAAGAGACATTGTAGGAAAAAATAAAAATAAAATAATTATTGAAAGAGTAAAACGTAAACGCAGATAGGTGAAAGAGAATTATATTTTTCTTCTCCGGTTTGTGTGTCAGTTAACATTTACAGTACAGTATTAAATATACATGTACACACCTGTACATGTAAGTGGGTTTTTGAGTTTCGATAACCACTCACCTCGGAGATTATGGCAACAAAAAAAAGCTGGAAATAAATAGAAACAAGAAACAAAGACATGCAAAAATTTAGGTAATAGAGATGAAAATGTTGTCTTTTGATTTTTTCTTATTTTGTACCCTTACATGTAGATGATGTATAGGTTAGGGTTAGGGTTATGCTGAATAATATTAACTCCCATTGTTTCATATGCAGTATATATTGCACAATTTGTCTGAATCTTCTGTTCAAAGTATACATGTACTGTATATATGCACATGTATACACTTTCTGCATTGTCATATATATTGTTATGATGACACATTGATTTGTTTGACATTCTAACAAAGTGCTACAGATACAATTGTCAAAATTCTACATTTTATCTAGGTGTCAACAATTCCTTAACACTCTATGTACACATCATTATTTTTGTTAGGGGTATTTGTTTTCATCTTGCTCACTCTAAAGTAAACAAAGAAGATAAAAGACAAATACATATTAGCCTGGTTTGCAGACTGACTTGATTTCTCTCAATATTTTCAATATAAATGTGTTATATACATGTAATTTCAAGACTTTACTCTCTCTCTCTCTCTCGTTTTCTTCTCTTGTACAAGTAGAATGGACACGCTAGTGAAGGTCAAAAGTCAAAACACAAAAAGTAATAGAAGATATTTTGTAGTCTGTATATTCCAGACTTCAATTGGTTAAAGTTAATTTGATTCATTATGAGGATTAAAATTGTAGTTTCAGGCTGGATTCCAGACTAGGGGAGCATTCAATAAATGATTGAATGGTTATTTACAATGATGTAATTCGGTTCGGTTGACACATCATTTTGTGAATGAACAGGGAATGATCAATCAAAAGCGGTTTAAATAAATAGAACTGATTTGTGTAATTGTGGTTGTTTTATGACTGCCCTTTCTTTGTGTTTTGTTGCCAGGTGTTTGTTGTTGACAGCAAAACAGCCATAAACAAAGCCTAATAAACCTTTGTATTTTTCATGACAAAAGAAAAAGTTTGGAAACTGAAATAATGGAAGAAAGAGACCATGCTGGCTTGTAGTTTGGCATTTGCTTTTTATATTGTGATATTTCCAAGTAATAAAAACAGACTGGCTTTAGATTCTAATTTTGATCTGCAGTATGTCGCTTTTTCTCTAGAAAAAAAAAATCTTCCTTCAGTAGTATGAGAAAGAAATCACTTGGCCTCTTCAAAATAATTTGAAACAGTATCCTGGTTTGTCTACACTTTATGGAAATAATGCTGTATAATCATGGCTGCTATTATAATCATAATTATAACGACTATTAATATTTTATGTTGTTAGATTGCACATTTTTGTTTACCCTAGTACAGAAGATTATAAATAAATAAACAAAAAATCTGAAGATGAAATGTGATGTCATTCTAACTTGACCTCTTAGTCTTCCTTGACCTTTTGAAAAGGGCCCCTGGCTACCTTGAAGAGTCTCTACATCCATAGGTGATGATGATGGTCAACTGGTCAGAATATGGGTCACCTTTTCGAGTGCCGGCATCAATTAGTGTCCATCATGTGTCATAGCTTAGGCCCATGGTCATAGGGAGATGTGCTTGCTTCGGCTTGTGTACATGTATCTGTTCTGTGTAAAGTTCATTTTAGAGAGGCTGTGAATGTTTCATCCAATCAGGCACATAATTTGCCAGTTTGCTTTAATAGTCTTTTAATTTGTTATTGGAATG